CAGAAATTGTATGACTCTCACTTATCCATTCTATTCCATTTACCAGTTTGGTATGGGAAAGGGTCACAAGATTGTTGAGCATATCGATGAATGGCACATCGAGCAATCACACACCATCCATTGAAACACTCACCTCGTATCCCTTACCCACAATCGATTCGATGGAATCACAATGTTTGAATAGGGCATCATTCTCATTGTAACATGGAATCGATATGATCGCCAGATATAAAGCCGAAGATAATTGGAATTGGCATTGATTATTGAATGGTTGAGTGGATGTGAGTGTATGTTCAAAGAGTGTGGCATTATTGACTTTCACAAAACACCCAGAATGTGTCGTCCATGAATATTGAGGAAGGCCATCCACTGTCTCACACATGAGGACATGTTTGCCGTCATTCTCTGGCATATTGATGAGCATGTTATCGAGCTTTTTGAACGTGTAATTGTTTCCATTGCTGCTGAATATGTACAACATTGATGCATTCAATTTACTTTGGTTGACTTCGTTCATAGTGTTTGACATACACACCCTTGAGACACGCGCCATCATCGATGAACAGATCGGACAACTCGGGCGGCACTTCATCATTCACGACATTGTAGACCACGCGTACATAGTAGTTGGAAAAGAAGTAAACAGTACGATTCTTGGTCATTACACCGATGATGTGAAGAGGCAGTAAATCACTACTCCAAAACACATTTAGAGGCACACCGAGCAGACCATTGGATTTCAATTGAGGCAATAGATACTCCCATTCATCCTCGGTAAATATGGGCGGACGAGTTTCATCCGGAGTCATCTCGATGCAATCATAGTCGTGCAAGATCAAACCACAGTTCACATTCGATTGCAGGGTGCGAACACTGAAGCCGAATAGACGCTCACAATTGATCGGATACTTGGTATGGATAATGATATCGGCGAGTTTGATATTCTCGTCCTCACAAGTGCGTACCAGGGAAGACCATGTGTTGTTCTCTGTTTTCTTGTATTTCATTTTTATCAAGGTCTGAACTAGGACTAAAAGAGAAAATATAAATATATAAATACATATATGAACAAGCCAACTCACACATTGAATCCCAATATAGGACGAAAAATTCAAATCAACGGAGTTCGATTCTGGAACCTTCTCAGGCGTGGATTCAAGTACGACGAGAAATTGAATCGTTTGTACGACAAACCATTACCACCAGGTACGACGAAGTACGTTCCCAAATCGAGAATGCTCTCTCCCAACAATCATTCCTTGATTATTGGAGAATTTGCCTACTACCAATTTCTCCGTGACAACTCTAGACCACGAGGCGGCAAATGGGTGAAAATGACGAAAGAAGAAGCCAAAGCATACGATAATGATTCGAATATCAAGAAGATATTCATGGACGACCAGAAAGATGATTCGGACAACTCATCGTCCTATCCAGACGACATCGATGAATTCGAATATGACTAAGATGGAAATGCGATTATCCCATTTGAGGTCTGGTACCTACTAGCTACTTGCCAATTAAGTTCTACTTTAGACTTAAACAATTTGGTTGCCTATATATTAATAAGTATTCATCGCGACGAATATACTATCAACCCGGAGACTGGACGAATAATCAAGATTGGCGCTCATACCTGGAAACGCTTTGCTGCCAAGTACTATATGATCGATGGGAAGTTCACAGAGTAGCTCATTCCTGATTCACGAGAATATGTGTCAAACAAGGTATGGAATGAGAATACAAGGTCATTGAAAACAGCAAAGAAACCAAAATACGCAACTCCTTGTAAACGAGTTGGTCATCCCAAAGGAGAACATAAGTATATGATTGTGGGAAGCAAAGCATGGAACGAGAGATATCTCGAATATTAATGGAATGGTCATGAATTCGGTTAGAAGAGAAAACAACCATTATTTGAAGCCATGAACACGGTGGAGAAGAGACGAAAAATAACACGTCGCAACAATTTCTTTGCGCTGTTCGATCGCAAAGTCGCGGAAAGAAACTTGTCGGATGTGATCGATTCCTTACTTGGATTTGCACCCACTTTCTATCACACCGCGGATACGAACATATACACAGAATAGATGAATGAGAAGCGAACCAGGAAGGACTTTCGCCTCAAGAACGATGAAGACAAGAGACTATGAATTCGACTTCTTGATGGAAAGAACGAAGAGGAAGTGGAACCGATGAACCTGATGATGGACGAGACGGGTGAGTTCAATGAGGTAGCGAAGAAGTTCATTCTCAATGGTATGTGTGATTATCCACAGTGTCTCATCACCATCATGGCATACAACCTCATGTGGTCACATGCCGGTGAACTCAAGATACTCAATCTCACCGATGATCAATTGGGACACCTTCGTATCATTCACAAGGATTGTATCGACGAGTGGCTGGAGGATTATCTGAAGTGGTACAAAAATGCAGTGGAAGAGAAAGAGATAAAAGGAAGTGGTTTTGTGTACCGTGGTTAGATCGGCTTCTATGTCGAGATGTTCCCACTTCGCTGATTCGTGGGTTACAAACATCATAACACCTTTGATCCTTGGATGCACAGTTGTCAACCCGAATATCAATGACAACCGGTGCCTACAGCGATGTCTCATCCTGACAAGTGATGGCGGACACAAGATTATTGCGAATCGCAAGATGGGCGATTCGAGTGGGTACAACATATGGTGGAAACAACCCGACTAGTACAAGGTATTCGGAGTGACAATTCACGAAATCGAGGAAGCAATGGACATTTGTGATAACAAGGTATTCGAGCAAAGTGAAGAGAAATTCGCGAGATTGAAAGAATTGTTGAAAGTCTCTTTTAATGTCTTCGAAATCACTCTGTTGCCTGGTTACGCTGACAACTGCAAGGATGAGTATGAGCTATTCACATGTTATCAGGTATACAAGTCAGAGGTGAATGGAACCACCCTCTCTCTTTATATTGTAAATGATACTCGAGGGGAGGGAGAGATAACAAAAATCCCAAGTACTTCTTATACATCAAAGACTTGAGCGATTTCAAACATCGCATCTTTTGTCAGAGTGATGCAAAGAATAGGCATCTTGCAAGAAACGTGAAGTACAGATTCTGTGACTTCTTTAGATCACAAAGAGCTTTCCGAACCCATGAAGTACAGGCACATCGCAAACTGATGGATGATCGTGATCAATACAAGTTGTCGAGTGAAGAAACACGTCTGCGATTCACCAACCAGCAATACGAAATGCTAGCACCAGTCGTCGTGTATGTTGACTTCGAGTCAGCCATTGATGACAAGAATAGACACGAGCCAATCATGTTGTCCGGTTTGGCCATGTCACACATTCCAACCATTCAGACTCAACTGTGGATCTTCCACTCACCACAGGAGAACGAGAGTGATCTTCGTCCTTTCATGGAGAATCTGATTCAGTTACAAGAAAACGTGAAGTAGTATTACTTCGATGAATTACCCCGTGAGAACACTCCCGAGATTGAGAGAGATTATCAGTCTACGTCTCTGTGACAAGTAAAGACGAGTTGTTGTTTTCACTTTGGTCGGAACAAAGCATCATGAAAGTAATGAAGGGGTTCCGATACTTGTAAGGGTTGATCCATGAAAACGTACCGTTACTAGGTGAACCTTGGATAAGCATGGAGTAGTGAATGGCTTGCTTCTCTTTACCATAAACAGCAGGGGTGAGCAAAATAAAACAAAGGTTAACATTTCGCATTATATTATTTATAATGGGTTAAAAATACTAGTTGTCCACGGTCCGCAACAGCGAGCGATAATAAATAAAATCTTAGGGGCAAATTCGAGCGGTAGTCCCGCAATTGAAGGGTTCTGAGGAATACTCTAATCCAAAATAACCGTAAAAGGTCCTATGTCATTAAAGCGCAATAATCAGCCATATGAAACATAATACTCACTCATTCAGTTAATTGATTTGTTGATAAAAGAAGAAGAGAAATGAAATGGTTAGAATTGAAATGGAGTGTGAGTGAATGATGATAAGAATGTGATGTTTAAATAGGCAATTGAATAATAATAAAATGAGAACGGCCATATCTGATGGAAAGCGCCCTAACCCGTCCGATCTAGGAAGCTAAGTCATCACGAGTCGAGTTAGTACCAGTGTGGGTGACTCGCTGAGAAGTCTCGATGCTGTTCTTTTATTATTTTATTCTATTTTTCACTTTTTCATTATGTATTGTGCATACGTAATAGTGTCAAACTTATGTAATACTGCGTTGCTTCACAATATGCTGATTTGCATACGAATAAAGAGTATAGTATCAGTGTGAGTGATGATTCAACATTATTATGCAGCCACATCATTTGAATTAACTAATATTCTGATTATCATATTTCTATCAAGAATAAAACAAATAATCAATATCCTTTGTAGTTGTCTTATCAATTCAGCAGCATGAAGAATAAACATTATCAAGGTACAAAAGCGATTATTCAATTTGGTTATCAATAGTCCATGTCCTCAGGTAGAAAACAGTCAATAAGGCACATATTCCTTCTTTTCGATTCATAACATTCTAAAACAAACAAGCAAATGACTAAAAACCCATCTGAACCAACTGTTCCTCTAACTCATTCAACTGTTCGCGAATCTGCTCGATCTCCTGCTTCAAATACTGAGCGAATTCCGGCTCTAAACCTCACACCCTCATCAAAGCTCAACGTGACATTTGCTCTTCTCCCTCGTTTTCATTCTCTTCGATTTGAGGATAGTCTTCTTCGTAAACATTCTCTATATTGTTTGAATAGTCGTAGTCCCTCGGGTACTCAATCTCCATTTCGTTCTCGTTCTCGTTCTCGTTCTCGTTCTCGTTCTCGTTCTCGTTCTCGTTCTCGTTCTCGTTCTCGTTCTCGCTTGCGATTTCGACATTAATTTCACTTTCAGCTTGATGCTCATTTGGATATTCACTTGGATTTCCATTTCCATTCACATTCACATTCACATTCACATTCACATTTTCATTTTCATTATCATTTCCGTTCTGAGATTCGCTCTGATCCAAACCCACGTTCGAGTCATCCGAACGATTCTCTTGTCCTTCCATCTCACCTTGCTCTTTTGTTTCGCCCATTCTTTGCCCTGCTTTCGATGCTTCCGCTTCAGATGGTGTTGACTCTTGACTTGACCTTTCGTGGCTTTCGATTCTGCACACAATGGGCGAAGAAGCTTCTATTTCATATTGGCAAGTGCGGACTTCGCGAACAGAGAGAACACGAAGGTTTTCTTGTACAAGAGGATCACAGGAAATGATCAGCTGTATGTTATTGAAAAGAGGAACCAAAACATTGGTAGTGCGATATATATGACCTAAACACTCGTCACCATCATCAAATCGGAGACGGATTTCGGAATTCTGTGTCGGTTTCTCGATATATTGACCCCAAATTCTAATATTTTATAAATACCATTTCATTACCCAATACAGCCACGAAATCCATTCACCTTGTTTTCCACCTGCATTATATACTGAAATGGGCATACGTAATAGGTGTAATGGCTCGTTCTATAGGGGCTACACACAGAAGTGAGAGGCAAAAGAACGTCAGGTCCTATCCATAAAACAACTGTTGCAACATTACCAGAAAAGGGAACTACTGCACGTGAAATTGGTATAGAGCGAAAATCTTCACTTGGTTCTGAAGTCGTCCCCATCATAGCTTCTTTGACTGAATTTTGCTTATCTCCAGGATTAGATGCATACGTCGGCTTTTGAGGAGGAGACTGAGTGGTTTCTCGTTTCACTGCCCATTTGGGCTTTCGATCCGTGATTCGGACATATATTGAATTTGTACACGATATTAGAAGGATAAAAAACAAAATATGATACACAGCAGTCATCAAAAACAAACAATGCATCTTTCGATATATATGTATATTTAGTCATACAAGATTGATATTCATGAAATTGATTCTCATGAATGCTCTTATCGAGAAAGTGCTTTACCTTCCTCCAGAGTGCAAATATAGTGGAAATGAGTTTACAGGGCCACTCTCTTACCACGAAATGTACCTTTTTGTGTTTCTGTTGATATTATTATTTAGAAAGGATCCATCCGGAAATGTCATTCCAATGATTATAGCGAAGCCTCAAGTTAAGACCTTTTTCACCATCGTGTACAGCCACGCAAATGCTGAAGATATTAGTCAATTGTAGAATGCATGAGGAATATAATAGTGCATTAGGAAATATTTTACAAAGTGGATGTCGCGTTCTCTTTGTTGCGATGTTGTTACTTACGACTACCCGGGTTATGGAAAGAATAAGTACTTAATTCGGCAAGTCTCTTCACACTAGAACCTTGGCTTCCGAACAATCAATAAAGGAGTGTGGATATCATGTGGTAGAGTATCTAATTGACGAAATGAACGTTGATCCGAGCCGTTTAGTCTTGTATGGTCATCGTGTCCATCACTTTTCTAGATTTGGCCATTCTCTGGGAAGTGCTGTCTCTGTTTTTGTTACGGTGGCTTTGGTAGAAAGAAGAAACATCCGTATTGCAGGACTTATATTACAAGTGATTTTTAAAGATCCGCTTTCATTCTAGAGTTGCTTCTTATCCATTTATAGCGTAGTGGTCAAGTTTCGAACCACAAATAAGCACGATTTGTATTGTACTCGAGATATCGTTGAATTCGATACATCATTCGATTTAGATTGCAAAGATCAAATGTCCTGTTTGTTTACTTCATGGGAAAAGTGATTCGATTGTTCCTTTATGTCATGCAAAACGTTTATATTGTATGATTCCCGAAGAATATCGATATAAATGTTTTTTCGTTGTACAGAATTGAATTTGATAATAAAGAAGGACAAAGCGGGACACAACAATCTTGAACAGAGTTGTGAGCGTAAAAGCGACTACAGTGACTTTTTGATCGATTTTCTGGTGGTTTGTTATATGTTATTATGAATGGTAGAACTACTTGAAAACAAGATTATGTTATGTTATTTGTTTGAAACATGAATCGATATGGTTTTACTATTTATAGAGATTTCTTCAGCTCTAATATGAAGGATACGTATATCTTGTTGAAATTTACATAAAAAAATGCGACGTTGGTGTATTGGTGTTTTTGACACCATTCCAAACTCAAAAGCTGCCAATTGGTTATATGCTCTCGGTTTTAGAAAAGAGTATATGTATACTGCGAATTTTTAATTCTAGAAATGTCAAAACTCCAATTCTTCCTCCCATTCAATCGCTCTGTATATTGAATCATGTTATCTGTCTAATTGTCTAGCATTCAATGACTCTACTGATTACAGAAATCTATCTGAAGATGAGTATATGTGTGTTAATCACCAGAAATAATAGTAATAATACCGTTTCTGGTTTTCATTTGAAATCGCTGTAGAGATCATACCTATAAGGCAAGGGAGTTTTTACTAATTAGTCATTATGATGATTAATGGACATGCAGAATGCACAGGCCTATGCAAACTGTAAGAAAAGAATTATGCCTTGTGTATGTGGGAGACAACGATATTGGGCATGACTCTATTAGAAGTCAGTTTGATGAGATGATGTGCAATATATATTTATGAAGGATTTGGCTTCAAGTGAAGGTGTACTGAGGAAAATGTTATAGGATCGAGAAATGAGGGAGAAAAAAGAATAAAAGAGGGATTAAGGTACACATAATATACAAAGCTTATTATTTCCTTCCTGGACATAGAATGTCACTCTTATTATTATTGGTATTGTTACTTATGAACTTTGTATTAACTTTTAACAAACATACAAAATACCCAATCGAATTGAACTATTTTCGATAATTCGAAATCAATAATCATATAGCATTCTAGTAGAAATGAATATTTACGATGGAAAAAGTACTTCACAACACCCAATCATATTACAAGTGATTTTTAAAGATCCACTTTCATTCTAGAGTTGCTTCTTATCCATTTATAGCGTAGTGGTCAAGTTTCGAACCACAAATAAGCACGATTTGTATTGTACTCGAGATATCGTTGAATTCGATACATCATTCGATTTAGATTGCAAAGATCAAATGTCCTGTTTGTTTACTTCATGGGAAAAGTGATTCGATTGTTCCTTTATGTCATGCAAAACGTTTATATTGTATGATTCCCGAAGAATATCGATATAAATGTTTTTTCGTTGTACAGAATTGAATTTGATAATAAAGAAGGACAAAGCGGGACACAACAATCTTGAACAGAGTTGTGAGCGTAAAAGCGACTACAGTGACTTTTTGATCGATTTTCTGGTGGTTTGTACATAGATCTTTATTTAATATGGAGTACCTTGAATCTTGAAGTATTCCATTATTTATTGTTTGAAAGATGAATCGAGATCGCATTCAAATTAATAATTGTTTAATGGACAGAGGGCTGAAGAATAAGTTACTCCTGTTGAAAACAACAAAGGAATACAGAACCTACTTGTATGAAGTACTATTTGATTCAAACGAAGGTCTAATAATCGATCCAAACTTACAAAAGAAGAAAACAAACTGATTACTGATCATAAGAAAAGTGTCAATGAAAGAGTTAAGAATATAGTGACAGCAAGCCTTATAGCATGTGCATTTGTTCCAAATGCAAAACGCTGGTGGCTTCTTTGTGGTGCTGCGGCAGGTACAGTATTTCACTTTTGATTTACATAGTTCCTTTGTACTCCTACTTGTTGTTATTCTACCCAAAGCTTACGTTGGCAAGAGAATTGTATAATGAGAGTCAATATGTGGATTCTCCTGTAGGAGAAGCTGTTCGGCGAGCGTATGCTTATTAAGATATTTGTAACAATATAGTATTTTTAACACCATTCCAAACTCAAAAGCTGCCAATTGGTTATATGCTCTCGGTTTTAGAAAAGAGTATATGTATACTGCGAATTTTTAATTCTAGAAATGTCAAAACTCCAATTCTTCCTCCCATTCAATCACTCTGTATATTGAATCTTGTTATTTGTCTAATTGTCTAGCATTCAATGACTCTACTGAATACAGAAAAGGTATTGATAATAATAATAATAATAGTAATAATAATCGGTCTCTTCAAATGTTGAAGAGGTACTGAACGTTTTCCTGCATTTATGGAATAGGTCGATCCCAGTTTATTTCAGAGTGAGAGACATCTTCGTAGTTTGTGATTCGAGACCAGAGTTTTGTCTCTATGAAGGGTCTATGCAAGAAGTGGCAAAGAATTTGTATGATGTGTACTTTGGAGAAAACGACATTGGAACTGTTCTTATTCAAAACCGTCCTGGCGGCGTTTCCTTCCAGTGTCCTTTAAAGAACTCAAAGCTGACCACAGAAGAAATAATCAAGCAGGTAAATGAGAGAAGAAGGGAAGAGCAATCGGATGAGGCGAATGCCAGTGAAGTTCACCCCCTTGACAAAGCCAATGAGGAATGGGCTTCGACTCCATACAGCATTCTTTCACTCCCTCAGCAAGCCGAAGATTCTTCGTTGTCTGTGGGAGTAATGGAGAGCATAGTCGAGGATGAAGTTGTGTACAAAGTCGAGGACGAAAACGAAAACGAAAACGAAAACGAAAACGAATTACGTGGAGAACGGAATGAATCGCGCGTGCCATCGCGTGTCCCTATCCATCCTCACGCTTTCTCCCCTCAGTTCGAATTGCGCGAGCGCCTGCGACGGCGGAACGCCTCCTCCCCCCCATTCCCATTCCTTGTTTTCTCCAACAAACAAGCAAGTAAGCAAACAAACAAACAGACAAGCAGAGATACCCGCCACGAAGACTCCCCTCTCCTCCTCGAGCTTGTTTAAAACGCCTAAACCGCCTCCGCCTTGGTCAGCTGCTGGAACTTGTCCAGCGCCTCCGTCTGGAACTGCAGCGAGATCTTCATTCCGCACACCTGCTTCAAGTCGCTGCTCGTCCGGCACTGCGCCATCGCCTTCTCCAGATCCTCGCTCGCCTTCGCGTTCTCCTGCATCAGCATATACAGCTGTGCTCGCTGCACGAACGCCGCCACGCAGCTCCCGTCCATCTGGATCGCCTTGTCCAGATACTCGAACGCCTTCATGTAGTCGTTTCGCGCCTGCAGCTCCAGCGTCGCCAGGTTCACGTAGCTGTACGGCCACGTCTTGTCCCTCGCGACCGCCTTCTTGAACAGCTCCTCCGCCTCGCCGAGCCGCGTCATCATGTTCATCAGCTCGCCGTAATGCACGAACACCGCGGCGGGACAGCCCTGGCACGACACGGCGCGCTTCATGTTCTCGATCGCCATGTCGAACCGCTGCTCCTGCGCGAAGCAGAAGCCCAGCTGCACGAACGCCATCTCGTGGTTCAGATTCAGCTTCACCACGCGCTGCAGATCCTCCCGCGCCTTCTTCAGCTCCCCCTCGACCAGCCGCATCTGTCCGCGGTGGAACCACGCGTCCACCTCCTTCGGGAACGCGCTCACCGCCTCATCGAACAGCTCGTGCGCGCGCGTCTCCTCGCCCAGCTCCAGCAGACACGACGCGAACTTCACCAGCAGATTCACCTCGCGCATGCCCGCCTCGAACAGCGCCTCGAAAATCTTCCGCGCCTCTCTCTGGTCCCCCGACAGCGTCAGGAACGTCGCCTTCTCCAGCAGCGCGTGGCTCCGATCGCTGCACTTCGCCTCCTCCTTCGCCGCCTCGCAGAAGTCCGCATACGCCGCCTCGAACGCGCCCTTGCTCTTCCGCAGCCCGCCTCGCATCAAATACAAGTCGCCCAGCGACGGCTCCGCGGCCTCTCCCGCCTCGATCCGCTTCGAAAGCTCCTCCTCGGAGAGCTTCAGCGTGTTGTACTGCGCCGCACGCTCGCTGCGCAGCGTGAGGAAGTACAGCGTCATGAACTGCGCCGACGGCAGCGAGAACGCGAAGGACGACGCGTAGCGACGGTCGATCTCCGCCTGGCAATGCCGCGCAGCCAGCTCCTGCACCACCTCCTCGAAGTCCTGCGGCGTGGGCTGCAGGTCGCCCGCCTCGATGGTTTCGAGGAGGTACTCGAAGGAGAAGTCGCGGAGCGAGTTCTCCAGGTCGCCCTGCGCCTTGTAGAGACCCGCACGAGCCATGTAGGCGCGACGGTACTTCGGGTCCAGATCGATGCACTTGGTGTACTCGGAGAGACTCTCCTCGACGCGGTTCAGCTTTTTAAGGCAGGAGGCGCGGGAGTAGAGCAGCGTTTTCAGCTGGGAATTGCCAGACGGGGAGGAATCGATCGCTTGCGTGAACAGAGCGAGGGCTTCTTCGTATTTGCCCGCGTTGAATTCGGCTTTCGCTTTGTTGTAGAGAGAAACCCACTCGGGAGTCTTGCGAGGAGTCTTCTTGTCCGAGGCCTTCGCTTCGGACTGTGCGGGAGACGCCGTTTCCGGCTTTTTCTCCATGCGGGACTGTGCTGCTGGTTCAGAGGTGGGCTTAGCCTTTTCGTTCAAATTTGCAGAAGTTTCAACGGGAATCGATTTCTTCTCTTGTTTCTCCGCCTTCACTTTTTTCTCCGCCGAAGAACACTCCTTTTCGGATTGAGCGGGCTCTAGAGATCATGATGGAATACAAGGACAATACGGTCCTCTAATTTGTCTTCATTATGTTTACTTTTAGCATCCTTTCGTCTCCGATACACAAAAAAAGCAGTAGCGGCCACTACACCTGCTGCAAGAAGTGTGGTGATAACACTCTTCTGATCTATTCTCTCATAGACACCACCCATAAACTACTTAAGTTTGACATCAATAGTACAAAAAAGATATGAGGTAAATACAACAACCGCGGGGAAAAGATGCTTTGCAACAAGACCGCGTAGGCTCATTTCAAACAATCTCCCATACTCTATGTGCCAGATATACATTCTCATATAGTATACGAACTACACGAACGATTGCACTCTGGTAGGTTTTTTTTATTATCATGCTGCAGCAAGAATTGTCAGAAGCTCATGAATACAGTCCATTCATTCAATGAGTCAACACTATATTTTTCATTGTCATCACTAAATCTGTAGTGTTCAATTAGCGACCTATCCATATTTCTGCAGCAATCAATAACGTGGAGTTATGGCATTTCTACAAGTTCTCTTCACATTCATATGTTTGATTGGGTATTGGATCTACAGTACTTCCTTAATGATGTAGTGTTGCTGCTAGCGCATACAACCTATCTCTTCTCATTTCGGGAATTACTCATTTGTTGGGGATTCCATTGTGACGATCACTTGTAGATCTCTTTTAGGATTATTTCGCCATTTTCTTCTTCTGTTTAGTAACGATTCGGACATTGTGCGAAATGCGATTGTATCCAATTGTAAGCACGTTTACAAAAACCGCATTCGAGGGAAAACAAAGTGCAATCCGTTTTATTACTATGCATGTAAGTGGCGTTTTCTCTTTTTCCATATCCCGCCCATTCGACATACTTTAATTCTCGACTTAGATGAAACACTGGTTTATTCCTGTAGATTTAGTGATTTATCTACAATGAAGCCATCTCTGGAGAGCATTGGTGTCACTATCGTATTTTGTTACTCTTTTTGAATGTAACTCACAGCTTCGCCAAAACAAGTACGTTTCATTTTACGTATACAAACGACCCTACCTTGATGAGTTTTTGAACCAGGTTTGCCAATGGTTCGATGTCGCTATCTTCACAGCTGGAGAAAAGCCGTACGCTGACGCCATTCTCAACGTAATCGATCCCAAGTGCCACATCCAGCGACGGTATTATAAAGAGAATTGCAGTTTGGTGGATGGAAGATATGTGAAACGAATCGAGACTGTGAATTCTGCGCTCGAAACCGCAATGCTGGTGGACAACAATCCGGAGTATTACCGAATGGACAAGTGCAATGCGATTTCGATAACAAGCTGGTATGGAGACGATAAGGATAAGGAACTGAAGTATTTGCTCCCTTTTTTGGATTTAATGCGAACTGTTGAAGATGTTCGTTCAGTGCTTAATTTAAACTGTTGGACTGTTTGTTTGAAAAGAGTGGGAGAAGCGATAGATGAGAATGAATGAATGAAAACAAAACGAGCCAGTATTCTTTGATTATGAATATTAAAAGATAAAATTTCCACTAACAGCTCTCACGTTAACAGGTTTAAGAGGGCGGATGAAACATCTATGGAAAGAATATGGTAGATTCAAATACTATTCATGGTTTTGGACAAGACGTGAGAAAAGGAATCACTGGGAAGTTTGATCGTTTGAAGATTGGGAACATCTATATTCAATCATTTTAGTGAGAACTCTATATACTTTCTAAAATGAGTCTACAGGAATTACAGAAACTGTATCGTTCTCCAACGATTGATGTTAATTGGGGGAGATCTATTTATCGATGTTTCATCGTTGAGTTCTCACTTCGCATTATGAGTGAACATGATTCATCGTTCTCCTTTCCATAGAGTGAATCCTTATCGAGTTTGATCGATTTCAATAACGGAAGATCTACTCAAATGAGCCTATTCAAAAGGAAATAAAGAATACTTTCCAAGGTTGTGACCAATGAAAAGGCAAAAGCGCAGAAGCCCAATTCAATCGATCGCAGATTTGGAAGATCTTAACGGTGAATCCGCAGAGATGTGAAATAAACCTTTAACTACAAAAGAACTATATGCAAAGTTCCAGCCTCTTTCAGCATGGCCAATTTTGATCGATCGTAATCGTGGTAGATTCTTCAATTCAAAGTTTCCAGCAAAGTCACTGAAACTATATTCACCAATCTCAATCGATTCCAATGATTCACAATTCAATATGTGGAATGATTTCGATTCGTCATTTCCATACGTACCAGCTGACCGTGTAAAGGAATCGTTTCCGATCTTCAACTTTTTTAACCTTTTCAATCCATTGATATTGAATGTTTTCACAGAGGTAAAACATTCATCCTGGATTTCGATCGATTGCAGGCATTTGAATTGGTTCAGATCCAATGACCTTGCATCATTACCGTTCTTCGAGCAGATCACCAGATCTGTGACTTTCGAATCTATTGTATTCAGTTCTTTTGTATTACGGACGCGAATTAGTTTATCGGGAATAGCTTCCACAACTTCACTCTTGATTTCACTTGGTTTTTTGTTCTTCAGTATATGTCGAATGCTTTCTTTCATTCCACTTACATACCAACCTTCATACAAATCGACTCCACCCTTCTTCTCTATGCCATGTTCCCATTCACTTTCTCGAGTGGCTGTTCCATTTGCTTCATCAAGCAGATATCCCACTCCATTTCGTACAAATTTTCCATTTTCGATACTATATCCTCCTATATACATTGGAACTCGTTTCAATATCTCCACATTCCCATTCTCACCATTGCTTTCAGCATATTCGATCATTTCATTATTATCAGCATCGAATTCACGAATCATTCGAATCAAAATATCTTTGGACCAATATCCTTCAATCTTCTCTCTTCCATTTTCTACATTATATTCGATTCCATAGCCATCTCGATTCATTTCCTCATCAAATCCACCTTGATAAACTACGATCTCTTCATTATCAATTCCTGCTTGATGTGAAATAATTAATTTCATTTCCCCTTTTTTATTTTCAATCCTTCTTCGATCTCCGCCATTTCCAATAATTGAATTCCAGCTTTCTTTTTGTAATGCTTTACCGTTCTTGTATTCCGTTATTCCACCGACTCGTTTACCATTTTTCATCTTCCATGCAAGACTCAAGATTCCGCGATTGAATAATTGGCAACGACCTTCAACTTTCCCATCTTTCATTTCACACAACAAATACTCGTTTGAATGCTCTCCTTGATATAGGGTCACTTCATATTCGACTCCGTTCATCGAAATCTTTTTCTTTTCACTTGTAACGTAGTCATTGAAAAAGTATCTTGATTCTCTTGATGATTGTTTTGATGAATCTATATTATGAGTGGTATTTCAGTATGTAAACTATCTGGGTTATTCATCCTTATAAAGCAAAATTGTATAGTATTCCATATTGTGAATATATTTGGAATACCAAAAATTCCCTTCTATTTCGTTCCTTCTCTTTTCAGAATTATATTTGAAATTATCAAAAGAAATGATATTCCATGAGTTGCAGTGATGGCCTACTTTATAAAAATTATAAATGAGTATTTTTGGAGTGAGCGGTATGGAAGGGTACTATTGCTAATTCTACTCTTAGCAAATGCCATGTCGATAGTTCCATAATAATAAAAATATGTAGTTTTGCTGAAATGTGGAAATGAAAGTGGAGGACGCATTTCGCTTGTATCATACATAGAAACAGTACTTTTTGTTACAAAATGAATCTCTGCTTATTCTTTGTATAGGGATCAAGTGCGTATATTCAAACCAAATGATATGATTGTTTTATAATGTATATTACTATTGAGTATAATCGCAACACATATATTCCTTGCTAAACATATAAAGTAATAATAATTCTGTTGATAATGGACATCAGTGGTGGAAGTAATAAGTTTGGATGGATGTAAATGTTTGTATTAACAAGTTAGCACTGATAAATTGAAAGGATGTCAAAAAATTACAAAGATGTTGAGCAGAATTTAACAAGACAAAACATGATATGGCAAACCAAACAAGATCTACAAAAACCAAAGTGTATTATTTTATCATAGCAATCCATAGGACAGCTCAATACGGAATACCTATTGTAATACAGTATTGGAAACCATGAACAATACGAGTTATAATTTTTAAAAACGAAAGTAAACATAATGAATAACCTTATTGATGATATTTTTGTTATATGAATATGAAATGCCACATCTCTGCAAATCAAGATTGGTTTTAATTAAGAGAAAAATCAGAATTATGCACAGAGTTAGAATATCCATTTAAGAAAGCCATTTCTTCAACCGATACGAAAACAAATAAAAATAATATAATATATAAGACATAACAAAACATGACAAAACATGACATGATGACAAGACATGACATTCCGTCTATTCTTTATGCTATAATTTTATCATAATTTATTTAATTTCATGAAGAATCTCTTGTTCTTATCTTCCTTCATTCTCTTGTGCGCTTTGGCCAATGCCTCTAAACCGTTGGTGTCATCCTTTGTGACACATCTTACAACATCTCTCTCTTTCTTGTCTCATGAAGACATTGACGACGAGTTTGATGTAAACAAGCAACTCTTGCCTGATTCTTTTAGGTCCACGAAATTTCCACGGCTCAATCTCGACAGTTATCTAACGACTATGACCGTTACTATGTTCTGTTAAAGGATAAATATACTGTGCTCAACTTCACGAAGCAACTGATTACTGTTACGCATAAACCGGGATTCAAAGATACCGAATTTATTGGAGGGCAAAATAAGAGTCTGATTGTTATTTGTAAGGAGTTGTTCTTGCTGAGCGACCCTTTCAAAATCATGATTCATTCTTATGCCCGTGTTCCTGACTTAGCCAGAATCAGTCCTTCGGTCATTGCTGCCTTGTCCAAGGCATCGAACAACCACAGTGCGGTTTCTTTGACGGTTGCTAGTGCGTCTGGTACCTACAAAACCTTCGATTTGACGTTTGCTGGATCTCAGGATAAAGAAGAAAACAGTAAGAGTGAAATACTTCTATTTAGACATAGCCCCCGCTATCATTACCAAGTCTCTGAAAGCATTGAAGACGGCCGGTTCACTGCAACAAAAAGTATCGGCTCAACGAATGGTCAAGAGTTCACTGGTTCAGCCTCTGTCTCCTCTTTCAACTCTGATTGCGCAAAAAGGCTTTGACCGAATTGAACTCACTCCCAAGTGGCAGTATCACAGCCATCTCCGTTCGTATTGATCATCTGTATTGATTCCTAGGCCAGCTCAATGATTATGCGCGTCAAACAATTGCTGACGGAGAATATATTGATAACGAGAACATTAAATTCTATAAAACGCATAATTTGAACGGTAGAAATGTCGTTGTGGGAGTGGGAGATTCTGGAGTCGACGTAAAAAGCACATACTTCTACGATCCGAATAATGCAGTTAAAAAAGCAGCAAGTGGATCAGGAAGTCATCGTAAAATCAAGCTGTATGTACCTCTCTTTGGAAATGACGAAGCTGAAACTGATGGTCATGGGACTCATATGTGCGGAACAATTGCTGGTAAGGCTCATGATAGTGATAGTTCTCAATTCAATGTAAACTCTTTGGATGACCATTGATGATGTAGGGTGTCGCTCCTGAAGCCAGGATCGTGTTGATCGATTTGCAAGAGGGAGATGGTAATATGCAGATGTATACTGATATTTATAACAAGTACTACAAGCAATACGTGTAAGAAGTGGATAATGAAATGTAACATTTAGATACAACAACAACGTTCGTATTCTATCCAATTCGTGGGGATCTTCCTCATATACTTATGATTCGGTCTGTTCTCTCACAGATAAATTTGTTTGGGATTACAAGGACATGGTAATTCTCTTTTCTGCTGGAAATTCGGGTGATGAAGGGTACGATTGCATTTCTTGTATTACTGTAGATTTGGGACTGTTGTCTCCCCTGGATTATCCAAGAACGTTATCACTGTGGGCGCTACTCTTACGGAACGAATTGAGAACGGAATGCACTTCACTATTTACTTCTCCTCTAAAGGAGATCCGGAGAGAAGAATTATCAAGCCTGATATTGTTGCTCCGGGCATCCAAAGATCGGCGAAGTCCTTAAGCAGTGAAGACTGTGGTTCGAACTGCAACGATCACGATGGAGTTTGCGAAATTCAAGGAGCAACAACTGCAAACGCCGTTGCTTCTGGAGCTGTTGCTCTGATCACTCAATACTTGACTGAAAAAAGCTATCATAACAGTGGGAATTGCAAAAATGCTGTGATTTGTAGGAAATATTGAGAAGCAGGCTTCCCTCATTAAGGCCATGCTAGTTCACAGTGGTCAACCTACTCTCGGATACTGCGAACAAGATTTGTCTTGCTACACTTATGGGTCAAATCATTTGTATTATGAGGGACATGGCCGAATTCAGCTGGATCGCGTGCTTCATTACGCTGGCGAAAGCGATTTTGAGTTATTCCTGTATAATGGGCAGGTCAATTACGAGAAGGAATATTTCTCTTTGGAATTCACGATTACTGACATATCCTTTAAAAAATAAAAAAACACCACGACAATAGAATTCCTTGACCTTCACTTCTCGAAACCTTTCAAAGTCACGATGGTTTATACAGATCCAGCAGCCTCCGTTGATTCCACTGAACGTATCGTGAATACTGTGGGTGTGACACTGAATCCTTCCGGATCGAGTATCTATGTCTATCCGAACGAGTGAGTCTTGGATGAAAGGTTGAGTGTAGATTGACGGTTCCTGATGATGACAACAATGTCCAAGTGATTTCCCTGACTCCTGAAGATGTGCAGACGCTTGTGCAGCAGTCAACCACTCTGCGAGTAAAGGTCACCCGCAGAAGTTTGAGCACCATGTCTCAACCAGTGTCGATTGTGGTGACTGGATCTTTCGATTTCGATGCAGTGGAGGTGAATGATGATACGAGCCAGGATGAGGGAGAGGGTGAAAAAACCGAAACCCCGATTAATCCAGATGAACCGGATGATGATCCCACAAAGTCCCCTAGTGGCAAGGATGATGGAGGCTCTTCTAAATCATCCGGAGTGTGGTACACTATTCTTGGTATTGTGATGTGAGTCTTGGCGCTTGTTATGATTTGTAGTGTTGTCGTCGCAGTCCTTCTCTGCATTTGCTGCTGTGCATAATAAATTGATAGGCTGTTAGCATGTTGAACGTGATATATTAAAGTTTGTTTGTTTGAAAACAAAAGGAAATAGAGTGAATTGCAATTAAGCCTTATTTTGTAGCATCACCAATGATTACTTATTTTCGATGTCACTGAAAAGTTGTATTTATGGTAGCTTGATGGAACTTACGGCGACGATAGTAAACGCAGTACGACATATGAATAATAGAAATAGAATGAACACGGATTGAGAACTTAAGAAGTGTAGTTCAGAGTGAATGTGGCATTTTTTCGTATATTTCACTTGTTCTTTTTGTTTCTTGTATTTTTAGTTAAAAATGAGTGTGAGAAATGGTTCTGATGGGATAAGGAGTAGGAAAGTGAAAACTCTGAAGATAGTTTCTTTATGGAAGAGAATGATTCAAATCCAGTTTCTAGTGCAGGAGTAAAGGCGGAAGATACAGAGCTGCTTGAGGAAAACGGTTCTGGAAAGGAAGTTGACGATGAGACCTTTATTGTGAGTGAAAGTGAAGATGAAAAGAAATCAAATGACAAGAAAGTTGTTGCAAGCAATACGAAGAGAAAAAGCAAGGGTGATGAAGAGATTGATAATTCAAGCGATAATGATGAGGATGAGGATGAGGATGAAGAAGATGATATTGGTGATAGTGACGACGACGATGATGATCTTGGTGAGATTGATGATGATGATGACGACGACGACGACGACGACGACGACGGGGACGACGACAGCAAGGATAGCATAGGTGAAGTAGCTCCCATTTTAGAAAAACGAAAGCCCTTGACCAATGCCCAAATTGAGGAAATGAACAAGCGAATCAAGAACACTGGAGTCGTCTATCTGAGCACCATTCCTCCAGGAATGCGCTGGACGCAGGTCATGCAAAAACTGAAGGAGTTCGGCGAGATCAACCACAGTCATCTCCAGGAAGCGGCTGGGTCTTCCAAGCGTCGAAAGAACCAGGTGAAGTTTGTGGAAGGCTGGGTGGAATTTGTGAACAAGAAGGACGCAAAAACGTGCGCTAGCCAGCTGAATGGGCGGATTGTCGGCGGCAAGAAGTCCGGAAAGTATCGCGATTATATGTGGAATATGAAGTATCTGCATGGCTTCAAGTGGCCGCAACTGCTGGAAATGATGAACTACGAGAAGCACCTGCGGAACGACAAGCTGAAATCGGAGTTCACGAAGCAGAAGAAGCAGGACGAGAAGTATTTAGCCAACGTGTCGAAGTCGAATCGGATGAAGCGGAAGCGCGAAGCTGGAGAGAAAGCGGAGACGCCAAAGAAGCCGAAGAAGGAATGAATAAGATGGGATGATTGTTTGTGAACAAACACTCGTAAAGCTTGTCTCCCTCGTCCTGCGTCATCTTCACGGGAGAAATCGAAAAAAGTTGTTTGTAGAACGCGTCGTTTCGGATCGTGGGGTCTATTTCTCACTCCGCTCCTTCTCACGCACCTTCTTTGAGCAATGCGCGCAGCAACGAAGACACTGTCATCGAATCTCTATCGACTCACACCCTTCTCGTTCACTCACACTTGACTTAGCTTCTCTAACACTTCCACTCGCCGTTTGCACGCGTCATACATCGATTTGATCTCCTTGATCTGATGAATCGACAAAAGCCCGTTGCTCTCCGACATTTCATTGCCTCCACGATCGCCGAATAAAGTATAAACGCCGTTCTCTTCGCTCCCGTCAGGTGGAACCAAGAACTGAAGGACTTGAAGCGCTACGAGAATGTTCGCGATCTTAATCGCGTCGCTTTCATCGTTTGAAAACAGTCGAGGAATCTCCTAGATGCGATCGAAGAAGAGAGAAATCCGAGTACGGAAACACGAAGATACGGATTCTGGAGGAGATACGCGATGAGTTCGCGCAGAAGAAGAATGTCTTTCGATTTCCAAACCTCGTTTGTGAATGTAGAGGCGGCAGAGGAAGAGTTTTCTGGTGTGTTTTGTGAGTGAATGCAAGTGAACTGATCATCTTTCCAGAAGGAGAGGGTTATCACCTCGCTCTCCGTCCCGAGTTTTTGTCGCTTAGCATTCATTTCAGGAGACATGGAGTTGACGGGTTGAGAATAGAGAGTAGAGAGCGCGACAGAACCGTCTGTGGCTTGAGAATAGGTAGATTTCGAAGACGAGGTAGAATTTTGTCCCATGAGCTCCACTGGAGATTTCTCGCTCTCACGATAAACAAAAGCCGATTTTAAATGATCACTTGTCACGGGCAAAAAGTAAGCTTTCTTTCCAATTCTAGAATTAATATATATATATATATTATAATAGTTACATATTTTCGGAGGCTGGTGGAGTTGCTTGCGCAATGGTGCTCGGATAGAAAGTACTCACCGAAATGCTGCGCTTACCGTTTATCACACTTTCTTCCGTCCGATAGTAGGGAACTGCGATCACAGCAGTCGGATCGGATTGGAGAGTCAATACAAACGAGTAGGGAGTCGCAGAAGATACAGAATAGGACGAAGGTATATCCATTGTCTTCTTTCCAGCAGTGATATTTCCAGTGGTGTATATTGGCACTGAAACATAGCGCCTTCCGATGTCGCTAGGGTAATACTCTGATTTCTGCACTGCAATTCGATTTTGCCCTTGATCCACACTTGGAATAGGCTTTACTACCACTGCTGGGTTAAATGGTGCTAGCTCTCGCTTCATATTCCAATTATTGGGAAAATGGTTCGAACCGCAAGATATTTTGAAACAAACAATTTTTACAAATTATTCAGGAGTTCGTCAGCTTTATTCTTTAACGCAGTTAATTTTTGTTCCAGTTCTTTGAGAGAACTTGAGGCCAGTAAGTTCACTCCCCCAACAGCCAAGTTGATCAGAGCGATAGGGCTGATGAGTGCCGCAAGCCCATTGGCAACAGCACCCACGTTATTCCACATTCGATTGCGGTGTATGTTGTCCACCATATATTCTAAGATGTCTTTTGCACGTGTTAAAAACCTTCTATCCTTTTCGATATCCGAATTATAGTCTCTGAAATCTAATGAACTCCAGAACAAGTTTAACACTTCTTGTTTCGTTTCCATGCTACAATCATACCATTGAGCTGCTGATAGATCTGAATAGAATTCACGTATTCTTTGGTGGTGATTCATTGCTCTCTCTTGGAGGCGGATCATTTTTCGAATTTCATTTTCAAAGTTGGTGTTAATATTCTCTGCAAACTATAGACTTTTGAGTAAACATACGTGTGATTATATGCTCAAGGCGAACAAAAGAGTTTGGAAGAGAAACTGAAGAGGCATTTGGAACATCTATTCTGTAATGAATTATCATCGTTGTCAACCTTTCACGGCCACTGATCTACAATAATTAAAATTAGATCCATTGGATAAAATAGATCGAAGCATAGGAAGATCTGTGCTGGATAAAGGACAAAAAGAGTACCAATAAAGGCTACAGAAGAATCTCCATTATCCAATCCTTCAAACGCCTTTTCTCCAAGGCTTATCCGTTGTAGTTTATACAGTTGATGAAAAGAAACTGTGAAACAATCACAAAAAGCGGATCCTCCTATATAAAGCTCTGTTAAGGCTGGAAGAGCTGAATATGAATAGGAAAAAACAGTATCTTACTGGTAAGGATGAAAGAGCATCTGTAGAAACAATAGGAAGGTGATGATACATCTCCAATAATTAAAGTGCTTAAATTAGGACAATCTTTGATACTGAATGACCCACCAAAATCGCTGAAACTATATTTGCCGATAGATACGTATTTAAGTTTGACACACGAGTCAATTGTGAAGGTTTTTGATCCATTTGCATGATAATTTAATTTATATTGAGTGAAAGAGTTTTCTCCTATTCTCACTATTTCCAAAAACATTAAGTGGGAAATAATAAACGTGGTAACAAAAGAACAACACTCATCTCCAATAACCAACTCCTGAATGAATCTGAAACGCGACACATCAAACGTAGTAAACGTAGAACTACACAGTGAGTTTTTCTTCATCTTCATATATGTTATATCATAAGAATTTAGATTATTAAAAACAGTGGGTGTTATTGGAAGAGTAAATAGCAGCTCGTTACTAATATCTATATAAATGTCATTTTTATTTTATCCCTACTATTGATAATTACATTAGCAACCTCAAAAAAGGAATCTGGAAGATCGACCGTTTTCGCACTTGGGATATCTAAAAATGATACCACATAGTTGCTGCCTATTTTTCAATTGGACATTGTTGTAGTGATAAAAACTCTTTCCCTTCGATGTTATCGACCTTAATTCTTGAGCATCTATTATCAAATAGAGATAAAACACAGTCATACTTTCGATTGTCAAGGTACAGCCATCAGAAGTACCTCTGAATGCTTCTTTACCCAATGTAAGGGTATTTAGGTTTGGTAGGTCTATCATTCATGTCATTTAATTTGAGTACCCCTGAGACTGAGTTCATGAGTTTTCTTGAAAGAATCATCGCCTACTTGTATTGTTTGCAAATTTGATAATTCTAATTTGTTACACGCAAAAACAATGATTACGCGCTAGAGAAAATGATTGGAGATGTGTAAAGCAATTGTCTCGAATATCAATACTTGCCAATTTGGCATTCGATTGAATGGTATATTCATTCACATTAGGAAAACAATCATCACGAATACTAATAGAGACTAATGCTGGATTGCCGATTATATGAGCAATTTTTGTACTTGTAAAACAATTCGATCCAATTGTGATGCTTGTTAAAGATGTCAGGTTTCTTATCTTCAGTTCTGCTACTGATTTGAAGCACCCATTGCCAATACTGATCGTTTGGAGAGAAGGCAATCTGGACAATTGCATACTTTTGTAATTAACAAAAGAACTGTTCATAATGTTGATGCTTTTCAGCGCACAGCAATTGGAAATAGTAAATTTACGAACTATTTGCGATGCATTTTGGCCAAGCTCCGCATCACAACAGCAGTTACTGGCAATCGAAACGGATTCTAGTTGTCTAAGATTGGTCAGCTCAAAATTAATCAAGTTTTTCAAACTATTCTTATTAACAGAAAGATTCTTTAATTGATTAAAAGCTGAAAAATTAGCATTTTGTAGTTTGTTGCAACTATTCTCGGCAACAAGCAGTTTTGTAGTAAAAGGATGGATCAGTGCCAAATCAAAGGGTGTTTTCATGGTGCTTTCTATGTCAATATTCAGTAGCAAGGGGAAACGGAACAACGTTTTTCGAATCTGAATGCATACAATCATCGCAATTATAGCAAATACTACCAAAAATATGACTCCAAGACACCATCCACTGCATAGAAACAAAACAATCGTAGCAATTATCGCTATCACTAGAATAGATATTAGAATCGCTATGAATTGTTTGTAAGGTAGATTAAAGCACCATAATCCTTCATAGGATGGCTCACTACTGCCATTTTTGAAAGAAGATCCCATCCCAAATCGTTTGTTTTGCCAGAATTGTCCTTGATAAGTAATGTGAATACCGGTAGCATCATACTGAGTTCCATTTCCTTGTCTAGCATATTTCTCCTCGAAAGAATCTACATATCCACCTTTGTAACTGACCACTCCGAATTCGTTCTTTTCAATCATTGCTCCTTCACTGAATGTTTTTATTTCTCTTAACTCACTTTCCTTAGAGAATATACAAATATCTGTTATCATGTTCTTGTTATATCGGTAACAAATACCATCTCGATAATAATGACGATCCACTGCATAAATAGCAACGATATCTCCATCAACATTCCTTTCTTTAAACAAGCGCGATTTGGGACCATGGATTAGTTCACCAATTAAATTGCCTCTGGAAAACACGCCAATAAGGCTTAACTCGCTTTCACGATTATAGATTTCTCCTCGATAAATGAATCCGTCTCGTACGAGACCTCGAAAGAATAGTTTGCCATAAGCATCATATAGTGAACAGTATCCGTTGGCAATTCCATCATGAAACTTGATATCTGCAACCTTCTGTCGATTTGGATCATAGATCTCAACATCACCATGAAATAGATTATTTATTAGAGTGCCACTAACAAAATAACCTTCAAATGGGGGTGCGGTGATTCTATAATCCTTATATGTATCATCTTCAATAAGGTCGTGACAAATCAAAGTGTTGATTGAATGAATCCATTCTTCGGTACCCTTTCGATGAGGAAGCTTTTCGTTCAGATTCACCTTTCCTTGTATCAACTCGACAGTTCCTGAATTTGCTGTCGCATCGCTGCTATTGTTCTGGCTATTGGCTTGATTGGTTGTGCTTGCTACATTAGGTGCTTTGCCTGCATTTGGAACACTTGTAACACTTGTAACATTCGAAGTGTCGATTTGGTTCGATCTATTAATTCCTGTTCCTTCTTTACAAAGTGCCGATGCAGGTTGGTTTGGAGTGGCTGGAACTACTGCAGGAGTTGTTGGTGGATTGCCCGCTATGGTTGTGGGATTGCTCTGTTTGATGAATGGGTTTGGATTTGACGGTCTGGAGCCGACACTGGGAGGAACAGAAGGGCTATGGAGTATCTTTGAAAAATAGAAAGCTCACCACAGATTAGCTGCGTTGCTTTGCAAATTGGATACATTTGCAGGTTGGAGATTTGGTTGTGTCGGTAGGCTCATGATTATAATAATAATAGATATAGCACCTTGTTTATGTTGGTTATACGTAACAAGTAGTTTATACTATTGGGACATACTTTGTTTGAACCAAATATAAAATGGATCCGATGGAAAAACTGCGTCCTAGTATCGTGTACATTGCTGACAGTCGAGGATACATACTAGATATATGCCATGCATCGGTTGTGTGTTTTGCATCCTTGCTTTCGTGATTTGCTATATCCTTACAGCAATATACAATAGACTGCCTGATTGGCTGATTTTCCCTCCGATTTCTCTTCTAGGTTACCATTATCCCGAACATTTCGCATATGCTCTATTATTCACTTCTGGTGCGATTTGCTTCTTTATCAGCTTTTTGTATATTCGAAAATATGCGCTAAAATGCCACGGCTTGTTGTTTTGACTTTAGTGCTTCACAATAGATATTTTGATACCTTCATATCCAAGTGGTTGGATGCCGCAGTTATTCTAGCTATTATCAGCCCTGCCTTTCTAACTATCCAAGCCATTATTCCTCTTCAGATAGATATTCTTGATGTACGTCTCTTTTGTGCATTTTCAGTAGGCCGATGCAAAACTGACGATATGGAGCATTATTCATCAGGGTTCTGCAGTCGTATTGTTCTTGTTTGCTACCATCCATGGCATCATTGTGAACTGGGCAATTTCACATACACCGGGCCATACAATTCCCAAGCTTTCTATCATTTTAAAGACATTGGGCTTGATCATCATGATTCTCTCTCTCATGGGATCGATCATTTTCCATCCTGCAAGCAATGCTATCGGTTCAAACGTACATGTCTTTTATCTATCTTCCATGAATAGAGCGCTTTTATAATGAACATGGCAGGTATTTTGCAGTGGCTTTTCGTGGCTGCAATGATGGTTTATTATGGGTCCTACACTGTTGATTTCAAGCCTTTGCACATTGAGTGAACTCTTTGAAATGTTTGTTACAAACAGAGAAATAGCCCAAAACGAATTCCTGCAAGAATAAAGAGCGATCTTTCAGAATGGATGTGATTTCATCGAGATAAGAATTGGTAAAGCGGAAGCAATTGAAGTTGATAATCAGTTCCAAGTACCAACTCCACATCAAATCATCACTTCGAAACACGCCCATCAATTCATTCAACTCCATATAAAAACTCTCATATCCGTTCAATTTGAATTCCAAAGCCAAAAACAACAACAATAAGAGAAGCAATCGATTCTTTCCCCCTTTCTTCATTCCTCTCCATTCCAACTCTTCTTGTACCCAACTTCGAATCCATCGGAGCATTTCACTCCATTCCATTTCATCCCAATTCCATCGATCGATGCACGCTGGAAGCATCCATAATGTATCCGAAGACAAATCGATGTTCCAATTTGGAGGGATGGATCGAAGCATCAAGTCTGAAAGCTCTTCAAATTCTGGAGGATCCCACAACGCTGGGCTGATTTCATTCAATAGATCTATTCATGATTTTCGCATTTTAACAAAACAGCCGATTTTTCGAAGACGTGAAAAGAGTCGTTTTCGAAGAAAACAAACTTCAGAAATGGATAAAACGGGAACTATCAATGGAAGGGCAAATCGAAGAGTATTCATCCAGTTCTCTTCTTTTTGAATTTGTTTGTTGTCACTTCGGAAATAATCGTTGAGTTTCCTCATTTGAACGGCTTGCTTCTCTGGACATTTCAACACATAATCGAGCCAATCAGAGATAAAAGTCTCCGATTGCTCGAGTTTTCTCTTAATCAAAAACAAAACGGAGAAGCAGGCGAAATGAGTCGATCCACTGCAACAACACGACATTTGAAGGGTCTCATTAATATCGTCGATCAAAGAAACATCAGAGCCGATAACTGATGGATGTGAAAAACGATCATAAAGAACGTGCATGGAATGTTCGATCGAACAAGGAGTTTGACTAGAGGAGGAATTGTGAGAAGAGAAAGTGGAAGTATTGTTTGTGGAATTGGAATTAGAATTGGAATTGGAATTGGAATTGGAATTGGAATTAGAATTAGAATTGGAATTGGAATTACAATCAGAAGAAGGTCGAGTTTCGATGGAATACTTCGAACGAAGCCTCGATGAACATCCCATCACTTGCAACCACGAATGAATCCACTCCCTCAATTCTGTAGGCTTTTCGACGTACTGAATCGCTGCATCTAAAATGGTTTCCACGGGGGATTCCCCCTTTGTGTTAGAGTGAATGTGACTGTACGAAAATCGATCGCTAGACTGAAAAAGAGTTTAATGTACAAGATCCAAGTGGTCAAGTCGTTTCTATTTTCTTCCAAGTGTTTAATCACAACGGAAATCGCTTTGGGAAGAGAATCCATTCGTAATCGAGGACATGGCTTCTATTCGTTTTGAAAAAGAGAAGTAAGAAATACTCGAAGTTCGATTCGAATCGATTTCTCTTCAGATGGAATGGAGGAAAGAATCTGAACGACTTGGTCGTAAATGGGTTCAACGGATTGCGAAGCGATGGAAGGTGTTGGGGATAAAGAAATGAAGTCGTTTGATGAATTGGGCGACGGATTTTCGATGGGCTTTTCTTCGTTTTGTGTGGAAGGATTGAGTTCCCGCTTATCTCGTTGTGAGAGTCCATTGATGATCAAGTACGGTGTCTGTAGAATGATATTTCAGATGTTGAAAAAGGCGAGTGGAGACGAAGAATGTTTGAATCCGACAAGGGAGCTTGGGAGTGTAGAGCTTCTGCAAATAGTCTCCGGATTGCATCGATGGCCTTCTTTTCTACGGATTGAGAGAGCGAGTCATCTTCTCCCGTAGATATGGCTTGAGGAGGGACTTCAGAATTGGATGCCAACTCTATTGCTTCGGATTTGCTGTCGGAAACTTTTTCACTTCTTGTAGAATTCAATGGATAATCCAAAATAGTAAACGAGTTATCCGAAAGCTTGTAGCTCCTTAGAAATGTATTTGAAAAGTGTGAAGATATTTTCTCAGGGGTATCCGAAGCAATGAAAATACGCTTTCCAGGAAATAGCTTTTCTAACTCGATTTCCGCCTCTGCTTCCACACTCTCTCTTTTTCGTTTCGCTTCCTCTACGGCCTGCTGCAGAACTGGTATTTCCCGCTTGGAATCTTCGAGCTGTTTCATTAAACTCTCCAGCTGCTTCAAAAGATCCAGCACTGCATACTTTGATTTCTCCATCACCGCCTTGTACCCCGCATTTGTTTGTTCCGCTTCAGTTTGTGCATCACTCATTTCCAACAAAAAAGTAAAAAGCCTATTCAAAAATTTTATACTTCTTTCGAAACACTTTCCCTATTGCACCTTTCACTGTATCAACCACCTCATCAATATCGGCATTAAAATCTCGATCTCGAATTCCCTTTTCTCTGCACAGACGCGACGTCGCATGCTTGTCGCACTCCGGTCCCTTCTTGCCATATGATCGAATCATACTATATTGCATGTCCGTGTTCTCAGAGAGTCGTCGATAGCACGCCCAATCCCAATAAGGCGGCATAAGTTCAATCACGTACGAATTTGGCACCATAAAAATCACATTGCTTAATCCGGCTCCATGCGCAGAAACCAAAATATCCACTCCACTGAACAGTTTCACCTGCTCCTCCGCCGTCTTCTCCTCCAAAATCTCCATTCTCGACGAAATCTGCCCTTTATTCGGAATTCCAAAAATCGAACCTTTTTCGAAAAATTGCCCTGCACCTGCGCCAGCAGCGCGTCTTCGTTCAGAATCCTCCGCTTGTTCTGCCTCCGAATCTGCACCAGTTCCAGCCGATCATGGCTTAATCGCCTCGGAAGTGAAACTCCCGCTCTCCGATAGGCCGCAGCACGAATCAAATCGACGCCTAGCGGCTCGGGGAAGAAATTGCCGCCGCCCCTGGAGTCCCAGTTTCGAAACACGGCGAGAAACGGCGCGCACCATAATCGGCCCTTTTTTAGGAATTTGTCGTCCTTGCTGATGTGGAGAACGGGGCGTCGAGCCTTCGAAAATAGGTCCAGATACACGTATTCCAGAAAACAAGGCCATTTGGAGGGGTCGCAGGAAGGCTGGTGGGAGATCAAGACATGATCGATCTGTGCGTGAGATAAATTGTATGGGTGGGACCCGCGGGAAGAGCTCGGGGTGGAGAACCAGCCGGACCATTTGGCTGGTTCCCTCGAGGAAATGATAAATGTTGGTAAAACTGTGCGGGCTAAAAACGGCGGTATTTTGCTTGTTGTGGATGGCGCGCTGCAGCCGCACGGGAGGAATCGCCTGCGCAGAGGAGACGGCGGTGCTAACTGCGTGAAGCGAAGGCCAAACGACTACAGTAAAAATCGTGATGCGGCGACGTTTGCTCGCCCTTGCGGATCTCCTCGTCGGCGTTTTCGCCGTAGAGAGTGAGCTGGTTGCCGTAGGGAATCAGACACACGTTGGAAACCACTCCGTAGTGAGGATGACTATCGCAGATGGAGATGCCCTGCTCGCTGTGGCTGAGTCGATGGAAAAAGAAGTGTTACGATAGATGGTAATCTCTGAGGGAGGAGACATCGAGGACAGAGAGATTTCCGAGGAACTCGCGATAGAAGAGGAATTGGGAGTACCAATCGTCTTTGCAGAAGGAAATTCTGCTCGATGAAGTGTCGACAGAGCCGTCGCTATTCATTTGCACTGAAATCTGCGGCAAACGGTCGTAGAGAACTGGCTCATACACAACTTCATTTATTGCACTCCACCTAGTCGAATTATCTTCGCTCTTGCCCTTCTTTTCCTCCTTAACTTTCTGCAAGTACTCTTTTTCACGCTGAATACGCCGAATCCCCAGCCGAGGTCTTCGAAATGGCCTATTCGTCGTTTCTGGGCCCTGTGTGCTGATGATCTCCTTTGGTTCAAATTCCACGTCTGCTGTTTCCACTTTTTCTTCTTCTAAAGGACTTGAAACTTCATCCATAACGGTCACTGATTCATCGGAGTTGAGCTCGTCCACTTCGTCAACATCCCAGGAACTACACGTAATTTTATGCTCGAACACACACCGTTGATAAACATAATCCTTTGAGACATTTATCCATCCATACCCTCCCGATTGCTCCAAAATCCAAAAACCAGTTCGAATGGTGAACAAGGACAATAGAAACAGAGCTACCCACCAATATCCAGCATCTCTCCGATTGACGGGCATTCCGAAACAAGATTAAAACAAACATCGCGAAACATGACACAGCAATTAATCGTCAAAAGGATTATCATCCTCAAACGGATTGTCATCCTGCTTTTTGGCCTTCTTGGGCGACTTCTTGGGGCTCTTGGGCGACTTCTTGGCCCCGGGCACACTGGCGGACGGGATATCATCGTCATCCGAAGACTCGAACGGATTGCTTTCGTACGTCGACACCTACTCATTAGCACACACTCCCCAGAGAGAGAGAGAGGGCCTACCGGAGCCTTCTTCGTCTCCTTCTGCATCATCTCGGTGGGCTTCTTCTGCGGGGCTTCTTCTTCAGCTCCCTCGACTCCAGCGTTGTAGAACTCGCCGCCCTTCTTGAAAGCAGGGTGGTTGCACACCACGAAGAAGTCGAACAGGCAGATGATGATACCGATGGTTCCCACGATGATGTTCAGAACGCACATGCTGTCCGATACAGAACCGTCTGCGTTGATCTTCTTGCCACCGAACACCATGGCCACGGTGCTGGAGAGTGAGGGAGGTGAGAGAAATAAAAGTACAAGAGAAGGAAGACAGTACGACCCATGTAGGAGTAAATGAAACCGAAGTACTTCTTGATATAGGCCTCATACTTGCCAAGACCGATCTCGAAGAAGATGAGCAGAAGCGAGAAGCAGCTAAGAGTCAAAGAACAGACGAAGCTTGTACACGCAATAGATGAACATAAAGATCGTTACAAGCTCAAGTTTAATGGACCCCGTTAATATATCAATCGGATACGTCAGAATGAGAGCTGCACCGAGAATAACATCCATAATACGCATAACTTTAACGAGCGTAGCTCCTTTGGTTGCGCTAATACTATGGGATAAGAATCCTATCGAAACAATTACGATTCGGCTGCGTAATTGGTGGCCTTCTTAATTCCAGATCCCACAGCAGTAGCAGCCTTCTTTCCGGCCTCGAATGCCTTATCAGCAACGGTGCTTTCTTCTCCAGTACTAGACATTATAATTTCTAAAGTATAAATAGCCTAGTGCAATGGACAAAATAATTCTTGGAACTATTCTGATGATTGCATGATTTTGTCAAGTCAATCTTTGATGATAATTGTATTGTCCTTTGAATACTAGGAGTAAAATATGTGTTTTCTGCACAAAAATACACAAATTTGCAGATTGTCCTAATCTCTGCTTTTGGTGGTTTTATGGACTACTAAAAGTACAATTTGTCAAGCAACTCATTCTATTTGTATCAAGTGAATTCAATAGAATTGCGGTTATAATACACTTTTAGCAGAAAGTCATTATTTGCAAAATCTCATCCGATCCGATAAATAGAGTTGATCTATTATGAAATCTATGAATTGCTTCTATTCATCAGATAAAGAGGAAATAGTGAAAGTGGATTTCGATTTGTTTTGCGTAATTGGTAGCTAAGCGATATGACGCTTTATTATCCTCTGTTTGAGTCGAAGGGAGAAGAGGGAATCTTTATGTTAGGAACATTGTACTCTGGGAGTGTTCCCTTGCATGAAACACCTACGTCGTATTGATTTTGGTGCCGATAGTGTGATCCGTTAGGTGCCAATTTACTCGATCGAAGGGTAATTTTTTCGAAGTATCTGGAGCGATGATGTTTCCTTTGTTGTTCCGTGATTGCCCGTTGGATTGCCACATTGTTTTTCCGTTTTGGCTTGCATGATGGAGTAGATTTTAACTCTATTGGATAAGAACATGAAGCCGTTTGCTGTAACTTCTGTAGCGTTGTTTAATTCGGATTCAACGCTTCGATATGGTAACCAGAAGGTAGAGTTCTACGCAGATGATAGTCGTACGGCTTTCTGCTGTGTTTCATCTAGTTCCACATTCCACAATTCCTTACGACTGCGGTCATCGCGAAGTTGACGACTACTTGAAATGGCAAGACATTTCCTGTATGCATCCGAGCGCACCCTGACTCCTAGGCACCAACAAATCAAGGCAGTATGGATGGTTGGAAGAATTGACCGAGGAGCAGGTTTCCTTTGCCTCCTTTTTCTCTCTGTAGTTTGAGCAAATCACCAGCGTCTCCATCGATCGCAAGAAGAAATACCTCGAGGCTCTGGGACGCAAGCTGTACAACCGCAAATTCTCCCTCCCCGCGATTCCCCGCGGGATGGAAACGGAAGTGAACACGAACGAGATCCATCTGGAGATGACGTTCTGTCTTCCGTATTTGACGGACACGATCTATCACGATTTGGAGTGGGGTCTGGACACGGAGCTCATGGATAGATATCACCGGTCGATTGACCGCGAGGATCGATTTGCGCTGTGGGTTTGGGAAGGGGAATTGAGTGTAGGATCAACGCGGGAGCGATGGATTTCACGGAGGTGCCGTGCTCGCCGAGCTCGATGTGGGAGGATTTCGATATGCTGTATTATGATCCGGAAGTGGGATTGGAAAACCCGGTGGACGAGAAGGTGAACAAGGTAGGGAATGGGTTCGAAGAGGAGAGAAGAGAAAGGAAGGAATGAATTGAATGAATTGAATGAATTGAATGAATGAATGAATGAATTGAATGAATTGAATGAATGAATTGAATGAATTGAATGAATGAATTGAATAAATCAATCCAATGAATCCACTGATTGAATTGAATTGAACGATTCTTTAATTGACTGTTTCTTTCGTGTTGGCTTCTTTCTCACCTTCCAGTTGAAACAATCCACCGCTCGCAAGTTCTATTCCCCCGACGCCAAGCCCACCAACGCCGAGAAGACGCTCCTCCTCCGCGTCATCGGCAGCACCAAGCTTCCCTCGGAGCTCGCCGACGAGGAACGCGATCTTCTCTGGACCTACCGGTACTCCCTTTTTCTCTCCTTTCTCTCTCCCAGCCACGTCGTGTACGGCGTCCGCCACGCGCTTCCCAAGATCCTCTACGCGATGGACCTCTCGCTGCCCTCCGAAGCCCATCAAGCCGAAGCCATGCTCGAGCAATGGCCGCAGCTCCCCGTCGAAGACGCGCTGCAGCTTCTTGGGAAGGAGATTCGTCTCCCCGCAGCGCGAGCCTACGCCGTTTCGCAATTGGACCAGTGGGAGAAGCGCGAGTGTGCCATGTAGACAGCTGACAGACGAGGATTTGGAGCTGTTCTTGCTGCAGCTGGTGCAGGCGCTGCGCTACGAGGAAGATCCGTATCGAAAGGAGGAGAAGCAGATCACCGTGGAGCGCGTGATCCGCATGGTCAAGCAGAAGTCCAGCGAAGTCAGCCCGGCGACGCTGTCGGACGAATCGCCGCTGCACAGCGAGCCGGAGAATGAAGCGGTCGACGAGCCGAGCCAGTCCGCGAACAAGGAAGTCTCGCTGTCGTCCGAAGGAGGCATGATCGATGGCAGCGAGCTGAGCAATTCGATCGTCGAAGCGACGACGCAGCCCTCCAACCCCGAACCCAACCCTGAACCAGAACCAGAACCAGAACCAGAACCCGAAGTAATCGACGATGTGATCGAAGGCACGATCCAGGAAGTGCAGACGGTGACCGTGATTACTCCTGTGTCGCCTCTGCTGCAGTTCCTGGTGAATCGCTGCTCGGTGAAGCGGTCGCTGGCGTCGTTGTTTATCCGTTATCTCCGCGTGGAGGCCACCACGAAGGGAAACGACAGCGACAATGCGAGTAGGGCCGCTCGGCGAAAGCGTGAGAATGTAGAATACGCGGATATGGAGAGCTGCTTCCTCTCGCATCTCAAAGACCAACCGGATTCCTCGGTGTACGAAGCCATTCAGAAAGAAGACCGCATCGTCGAGATCGTTTCTCTTCTCTTTCTCTCTCATCCCAGCTCTTCGGACTCAGCGACCGCATCTCCGAGCTCGGCGGCCGCGCGCAGAAGAAGCAGGAGAACCTCCAGCTGCTGCTGTCGCGCGACTATCGCGAGGTCCTCAGCGACCACCCGCTTCTGCCGATCCGGCCCGAGCTGCCGCTGTCGCACGTGCTGCCGTCCACCGCGAAGGTGTTCCAGTCCGCGATGACGCCGTGCCGATTGGAGTTCATCATCGAGGGCTCGGAGCGAGGCGTGATCTCGGTGCGGAGCTTGCGGCGCGATTCGGTGAGCACGGCCAGCGATGGAGAGGGAAACAAGAACCTGATCTGCAAGTCGTGCGGGGACACGTACGCGCGATGCACGTGCATTAAGTGCGTGGAATGCGGGGGAATGCTCGTGAATAATGTAGGTGGATGGCCGGGAAAGGATGGAACGGGGAAATTGATCGGGGTTTTGAGATTGGATTTGATCGGGTTTTGATTTTGATTTTGGATTTTGATCGGGTTTTGATTTTGATTTTGGATTTTGATCGGGGTTTTGATATTGTTTTTGGATTTTGATCGGGTTTTGAGATTGTTTTTGGATTTTGATCGGGTTTTTGATTTTGTTGTTTTGTCCGATCCTCTCGGTTTCCCCGTTTCCCCATTTGCTTTGAGTCATTGCGTGATGCTCACCTTGCAGAAACACCATTGTCGCGATTGCCGGTATCCGGTGTGCGGCAAATGTTCGGAGCTTCGGAACAACGAGCGCCACTGCAAGAGCCAAGACAACTGCGATAAGCGCACGCACCTCACGCTGCAGGTGATGGTGAAGAACGGCGACGACGTGCGTCAGGACCAAATGGTGATGCAGATGATCCGCCTGATGAACAAACTGCTCAACAACATGAACCTCGATCTCTGTCTGTCTCCGTACGCGGTGCTAGCGATCAGGTAGCCGTAGTGGGCGTTCTGCACTGAAGCTCGTCGCAGGGAATGCTGGAGATGGTGCAGAACAGCAAGGCGCTGTCGGGAGTCAAGTCGATTCGCGCGTTTTTGAAGGAATGCGCGCCAACCTCGAACAAAGAAGAGATCAACCCGCAAGTTATGGACACGTACATTCGAAGCTGCGCTGGCTATGCGGTGATCACGTATCTTCTTGGCATCGGCGATCGTCACTTGGACAACATTATGATCGATGTGTGGAAGGGGAGTGGAGTCGAGTGTAGGACAAAGGACACTTCTTCCATATCGATTTTGGGTATATTTTCGGCCAAGATCCGAAGGTGAAGGAGGCGAGTATTCGCATCACGAACGATATGATCGATGTGGGAATGCGAGGCGGGTTGCATTGTAGGGAATGGGCGGAAAGAACAGCAAAAACTATCAGTTGTTCTTGGGATACGCGTTCCAGGCCTATCATATCTTGCGACAGAACGCGTTGTTACTGATTACGCTGCTTCGGTTGATGCTGGATGCAAATATTAAGGACTGCAAGCCGGAGTTCCTGGATCGGATGATCGCTCGGTTTAATCTTTCGATGACGGATGAGGAGGCGGAGAGTGATTTCAAGAGAGTTCTGGAAGGCTGTATTGGTGATATTTTTGTCGGAATGTTAGAAATTGCTCATAATATTGCCACTGCTATGAGATAATGATCTTTGTTTGTTTAACAGAGAAACTCCTTTAACTGACGCAGTATATATTTTATGAACGGGCGTGAAGTTTGCGTATTTATAAGCACAATCCATGTTATGACTAGGTAAAATATCGCTATGTTTCCAATTCGGAAAATACTCTCTCACTGGAAGCAGGCGATAAAGTTGTAATATTAATTTACGCCGATGATTGGTCATATTGTAGAGACGATGTGCATGACGGAATAGTAGGATAATTTAGATTTTGTTAGGGCTTAGAAGGGATACTATCCTACATCGTTTTTGAATCTTGTATTGTCTTGGTTATTATTTCTATGCTGTAGGATGAGTATGTGAATACTGTAGATGGTAATGTGTCCAATACTGACGCATCGTTGGAGTACTGAAGCTTTTTATTGGATGTCATGTAGTTCCAACAAAGATTCAGCACCTGTAGTGATTAGTTCTGGACAAGAAGTAGATGGAAATGGAGGCGGTACAGTTATTGAATTGAACGTTATAGATAGTTCATGAAGACCATGGGGAGAGTGTTGAGCCCTCTGATCATGTAGAGGTGCGAAATGAGCCTTCTAATTCTGAGGAGGTGCAAAATGAGACTTCTAATTCTGAGGAGGTGCAAAATATGCCCTCTGATCTTGTAGAGGTGCAAAATAAACCTTCTAATTCTGAGGAGGTGCCAAATATGCCCTCTAATTCTGAGGAGGTGCAAAATATGCCCTCTAATTCTGAGGAAGTGCAAAATGAGCCATCTAATTCTGAGGAAGTGCAAAATAAGCCTTCTAATTCTGAGGAGGTGCAAAATATGCCCTCTGATCTTGTAGAGGTGCAAAGTAAACCCTCTAATTCTGAGGAAGTGCAAAATGAGCCCTCTGATTTTATTGAGATTCTCACTGAGTCCCCCGATAGGGAAAGTTTCAGTAGGTTCTCTCAAATACAAGAAAACAGTGTCATTCTGAATTCCATTCCTAGTGCGGTTGCTGTGTCCACTGAGAGTATTACACCGAGTATCCCTGGAATCATTGGTCCTTACAACTCGTCGACTCTGGAGGAAAACAAGGGCATGGATCAAGCGGTGAATACCGAAGTATTGCTGAGGAATCACAGCGGCGTGTCTGTAGGAAGAATGGAGTCATCCGGAAATGAAGCAAAACTGTCTGAGGAGAATACGATCAACACCGAAATGGCGGGTGCGACGCTGCAAGAGAATGTGGAGTCTTCGCATAGCTATGTGTATATTCCTGAGAGTAACAGGGAAAGCAATGAATTAGGACAGGAAACACCGAAAATAGAACAACAGGATGAAGACAAGCCCGGTCAAGACAAGCCTGGTGAAAACAAACGGAATGAAAACAAACGGAATGAAAACAAGCCTGATGAAAACAAGCCTGATGAAAACAAACCTGATGAAAACAAGCCTGATGAAAACAGGCCTGATGAAAACAAACCTGATGAAAACAGGCCTAGTCAAGACAAACGGGAAGAGCAGATGGGGGCTACCAACGGAAACCTAGAAGAAAAAGAGATCGTAGAAGAAGTACACGTCTCATCGGACCCATCGAGTCAAATGAACGTATCTAAAATTTGGATTCACCGCAATTCGTCAGTGCCGGAAGAACCGAATCCCATTAAGCCACCATTGATGCGACCATCTCTCCGACGGCCTCCAAAGCACACTATGGCTTTACGCAATACCTTCCCCAATTCCGGAGATGCTCCGATCCCGCAGAATAACACTGCGAATCGAAGTACTATGAGGTCTGCAAGTATTTCACAAGAATCCACTGCCAATCCTTCGATTGGGATTAGTCCCCATGATGAAACGCCCAACCCTCAAAGTGAAACTCCCAATCCTCAAAGTGAAACTCCCAATCCTCACAATGAAACTCCCAATCCTCACAATGAAACTCCCAATCCTATTCATACACCCATCATTCACAGTGAAACTCCCAATCCCCTCAATGAAACTCCCATCATTTCCATGGGAATGGATCCCCCAACGATTTTGGATCCGCCCGCTCTGCAGACCCATGAAAGCAAAACTCCGGACCTTGGATTCTATCCGGTGTCCGACAGTGAATCCTCCGATTTCCCGCCCCCGCCTTCGATTCCTTCTCTCGCTGATGAAGGCCTCAGCCCTCCAGCTTTGGCGGTCCAAGCTCCGGAAGACGCAGAGAGTTCTTCGAAAGTGCTGACCGATCTGAGCATTAGTGGCCATGAAGTGGATGATCTGAGTCTTAAAAAGACCGATTTTGTCGATTCGCAGGCTACCAAAGCGAGCTCTGTGTTTGTTATGTCTCCATTCCAGAGCGATTTCTCGGATGAGTCGCCAAGAAGCCCGCTTCAAATTCAGAAAATCCCTGAAATCGAACCGCAACTCCTTCCTCAAATCGACCTTTCTGAAGGGCAATCTCCACAATCTTCTGCAGTCCAGACTCCTCAGCAAGCTCCTCAGCAAGTTACTGAAGTTCAATCTCAACCAACTCCTCAGCAAGTTACTGAAGTTCAATCTCAACCAACTCCTCAGCAATCTTCTACAGTCCAGACTCAGCCACTTCCTCAACAATCTCCTGAATCGCAGACTCAGCCAACTCCTCAGCAAGTTACTGAAGCCAAGCCAATTCAGCGATCGGATCCCTTAATAACCGCGCCTCCACTACCCGGAATGAATCCCGCAGCGAACGAATCTCTACTCCAGGATCACGTCTTCACGCGTTCCGTGGTGAATACGCAGATCAACACCTACTTAAGTGTGATTAAAAGCAAGACTGTAGGGCGTGTTGCATCTCCGACAAAGCGTAGCTCAGCGCAATCGACAGCGGAACGAGCTCAGAGTCCGACATAATGACCAACAGCCTCGATCTAGCAAGCTTCAATGAGAAATTCCAAGGGCTTCTGCACGCCGAGAACGAATACTATCAGAAGCTCGACCATTTCTATCGGTTCTTCTTTCAGAACATGGAGTTCTCCAACATCAAAAAGGTCCGGGATGTCGCCGAAACCAGCAGTGTAGCATCGCTCCATCGATTCGAAATAGGTGGCAAGGATGATGCAGAGTCTTCGCCAGATCCTCGAGATCCACAGCAATCTTCTCTTCCAGTTGGAGCAACTCGACATCGACAACCACGAGTCGTTTATCCAGCTGCTTCAGCTCTTCGTCAGCATGACTTCTCCCTACGTGTATTATGCCGCCGTGATTAAGGAAAGCTCGCTAGCGATTGAAACGTGAGTGACTGCGAGGTGGATAAACTGCAGTCATCTGAAAGAGCGAGAGTTTAAGAACTTCGTGAACGCGTTTATTCAGTTCTCCAGTCGGCGCGGATCGCTGTTTGGGAATTCGATCGAAGAGTGTGTGTTCTCTGCGCTGCTTCTGCCCATGCGGCAAGTCCATTCTGATTTCGCTCCGTGATTTCGTAGATTTGGTATTATAACATGTATTTTAACGAGCTGAAACCAGCTATCTCCGATGAAACGCTCCGACAGGCCGTTTCGAATGTTCGGGTTTTTTCCTTTGTGTTGATCGTAGTGTTCAGCTCGAATTGGGTCGCTTCTCACCCAAATGGACAGTTCTCTGCAAGAAGAGGAATCAAAAACAGAGCTGATCGATCTGGGATCGGTGACTGTGCAGGATATCAACGCTACGAACTCGCTTTTGCAGTGTGGTCGACTGTACCATCTGATTGATTCGATTGTTTGCGAGCATAACGTAGCGGCTTTTTTTGGAATTCCAGAAATAGGGCAAGCAGGCGAAATATTACGTGATCGTGTGTAGCGACATCATTCTCTTCTGCACGTTCGTTCTGCCGTTCTGTTTTGATTTCTAGTCTGAAATGGACTCAATACAAAACCGAGTTCGTCTATCTCACCTCGACGCTCGTTCTTCCCGAGCTAATCAACTGGAGCGAGAAGAGCGAAGAAGACCCCTCTTCTACCTTCTATCCCCTTCAAATCACCTTCCAGCCCGACGATCTCTGGACTCTGTTCTCTCCTCTTTCTCTCCTCACCATCAGCTATTTCGACTCTTCCGCCAAGTATTTCAACTGGCATCGCATGCTCTCCTCCCTCCTCTCCGCTCCCTCCGCCTCTCCTTCGCTCTTCTACTCCTCCACAGCGGTAGATAGCAAGCACTTCCTCTCTACACGCCCCGCTCTCCCTTCGCCTCGCTTCCCTGCGCCCTCCGACGCCTCCAATTCCTGCGCGGCCTGCGGCGGAAGCGTTCTGCTCTCCCACCGCGAGTGTTCGACCTGCCACCGCGTGTTCTGCAAGAGCTGCGAGCTCCAGCGACTCTTCCGGAAGGGTAGGCGCGCGTTTATCGATGAGACGCAGACGTCGGCAAGTTCCAAGAGATCTGCGATGACTGCTATTTGATTCTCTCCGAAGCTTTGGACGCAGGTAGAACCGATCCCTACTCCACTCGATTCACTCTCTTCTCCGAGTAGGTTTCTACGTTTCTCTCTTTTGTAGAATGCTGAGAGTGTGTCGGGAAGCAGCGCAGCCGGTTTCGGCGCGTCGACATACAATCAGCGGCTCCCGACGTCACAGCAGCGAGCGGCTGACGACGATTTTGTCGCGGGACTCGTCGACTTCGGACCGGAGATCGATTGGCCCGACGGATTCCGCGGAAATGAACGCGTTCTTGCAGGTCGGAGAGAGGGATGATGATTAGCATGTAGACGGGGCTGAAGGGACTACCGGAGCAGATGCATCCGATGGGTCCGTTGATTCGGTGCGGAATGTTCGTTTTGCGAGGCAACACGGAAATGAATGGGAAATCGGCGATCGTCTTCCTGTACGGAGATCGGCTCATTCTTGGCATTATGGAGAATAGTAGAAGCGAAATAGAGGGTTGATTGGGTAGACGAGTCGATGGAGAAGGATATAAGCGCACGCTATCTGAACGGGTTTTTATTGAATGAAGTGGGAGTTTCTCCGAAAACGCAGGATCATTTTATTCATATCCTTTGTGTGTGTGTGAGAGAGAGAGAGAGAGAGAAAGGGACTTAACCACACGCTTGTTTACTCATCATACAGCGGTTGAGCTCTATGTATTTGATCCAGTGCTGGAAACGGAGTGGAGAAATCTGCTGAATCAGTATTGTCAATTAAAGAATTCTATTGTTTGTTAGAAAATGGATGAGTTGAATCTGTTGCAGTTAGAGGAACCTGTATGGATCGAAAATAATGCAGAGTTTGCTGACTATTCTCTGCATCTCTTCCCTTCTAACGGGCCTTATAGTTTTCATATTAAGGAAGGTGAACGTAGTCATTTGATAAGGGTATAACTTGTAGTTGGCGTCTTTTTGCATAATCACCAACTGAGTGAAAATAATACAACTTATTCTTTTCAGCTAGCATTCTCGTTCAAGTTAGATGAAGCTGTCAAATGTGCCTGCTTTTCTACAGACCAAAAGCACATTTTCATCTTTATGCGAACAAAAACCATACAGGTTCCTGTTGACGATCTGGAGAATGGGGATTTCAATCCAGAAAATGTCAATTGTGATTTGACATATAAGAAAGCATTTGTATTGAATGGTAATTCAGAGTGAATGACCTCATATTATAGATCAAATATTTGGATATTTTGATAATACTCTAAAGATCGAATCACCAAAGGACACGTCCATTCCCAGCAACGAGTATCCTTTTGATTCAGAGATCGTGGACATATCCATCAGTCCCACGGGATCGATAGCAGTGCTACTCTCCAATGGTTCTGTATACTACAAGGACAAGCTCCGAGACTTCGTTCCTTTTTCTTTCCCTTCTGAGGATTTCTTGGATCCTTTAGATTTTCCTTTTGTGCCTCAATTGGTGTTGTTTGGCGGGGACTTTTCCCTCCTGGCTTGTTACTACGTTCGAAAGCGAATGGTCGCATTGATAGCCTTGGAATCTGTTTGTATTAAGTGAGAAAATAAGCAATAGAACGGCTGGCAATTCGAGGAGATCGAAGACATTTGCTTTCCCTTCGACTTCTCGGACACAGCTCGCTGGAACTGCAGATTTATCGACGCGTTGGGACTGTTCTGCATGTCCCACACCAGCTCGAACGATTTTTTCTTTTGTTTAATTCGAAACAAACAACGAATTGAAGTTCGATCGGAAGACGAATCCTGTCGACTCACCAATCCTGAAGATGAAGAAACAGGCGATCAGGAAATCGTGACCGACTTGAATGTGATGTCGATTGATGAGGAAAGTGGTTTGAAAGTGTTGCTACTGAGTACCGAATCCCACAAAGTGTATGCAGTGAAAGTGGAAGTGATTGAACGGGATATGATAAAGCTGGTTGACAAAGAAACCCTGCAGATTGATATGAGATACAAGGAGTTGTTTAGGAAACATAAAGTATTAAAAGATCGAGTGAAGCGAATCTTTGACAAAACGTTGTTGGAACAAATTCGATTTGTGATGAGTCAAAACTATTTGGAGATGATGAAAGAGTTGGAGAAGCACGAGATGGAGGAAGAGCGATGGAAGGAGCAGCTGGAAATCGAATTGAATTATGTTCGAAAGCTGTGTGGACGTGAAGTAGTGAATCGTGTGTTGTCTGGACAGCTCTTGGAGTTCTCTTCCGAGCACAAACTGTCAAGAGATGATCGAGCAATGTATGAATGAATTGTTGAATGATTGAATGCGTAGAATAGACATATTACGAATGAACATTTATGTGTATAATCAGTTAATTAAGTAGGGAAACGATGTGTATTGAATTCATCATTGTAGAAAGGAACAAATCGTGATTGAGCAGATCAAAAAGGTGACGAAGAAAATGGAGTTGGTTTCATTGCCTGAACTTCCTGAGAAGAAATATGAAGTGGAAAAAGTGAAAGTGGGAACCAAGCCGGTGGCGAGAAAGAAATTGCAATCGTACGTGGATAATTTATATGTGGTGGCAAAAGAGAAAGAAAGAAAAGAAAGAGAAGAGAAGGAAAGAAAAGAGAGAGAAGAAAAGGAAAGGAAAGAGCGTGAGGAAAGAGAAAGGAAAGAGAAAGAGGAAAGAGAGAGAAAGGAGAGAGAAGAGAGAGAAAGAAAAGAAAAGGAAGAAAAGGAAAGAAAAGAAAGAGAAGAGAAGGAAAGAAAGGAAAAGGAGGAGAAAGAAAAAGAGAGAAAAGAAAAGGAAAAGGAAAAGGAGGAGAAAGAAAGAGAGAGAAAAGAAAAGGAAGAGAGAGAAAAGTCGGCGTCGCAGAAGAAGCCAGGCAGCGCAGACACTTCATCCAGTTCGACTTTACCATCGAATCCTTCACAGCAACCAGCTCAACAACAACAACCCAGTGGATTGTTCGGTCAAAAGAATCAGCAGCCAGCTCAGCAACAGCAATCAGGCGGAGGCTTGTTCGGTAATAACAATCAACAACAACAACAACAACAACAACAAGGTGGAGGCGGCTTATTTGGTAATAAGGGTCAGCAGCCAGCTCAGCAACAACAAGGAGGCGGAGGATTGTTCGGTAATAAAGGCCAACAGCAACAACAGCAGCAGCAACCAGTTCAACAACAGCAGCCAGGTGGAGGCGGCTTATTCGGTAATAAAGGCCAGCAACCTCAGCAACAACAGCAGCAATCAGGCGGAGGCTTGTTCGGTAATCACAATCAACAGACACAAGGCGGATTGTTCGGTCAGAAGAATCAGCAGCAGCAACAACAACAACAAGGTGGAGGCGGAGGATTGTTCGGCAATAAAGGTCAGCAACAGCAATCAGGCGGAGGCTTGTTCGGCAATAACAATCAACAGACGCAAGGCGGCCTGTTTGGTAATAATAATAATAATACTGGCCAGCAGCAACAGCAGCAACAGCAATCAGGCGGAGGCTTGTTTGGTAATCACAATCAACAAATGCAAGGTGGATTGTTCGGTCAGAAGAATCAGCAGCCAGGTCTACAGCAACAATCAGGCGGAGGCTTGTTCGGCAATAATAATACCAATACTAGTGGACAGCAGCAAGGAGGCGGTTTGTTTGGCAGTAATAACAACGCTCAGCAGCAACAACAGCAACAATCAGGCGGAGGTTTGTTCAGTCACCAGCAGCCGCAAGGTGGTTTGTTCGGGCAGCCTGGACAGAATGCAGGGAATCGTCCGGTAGATCCAGTAGGTAAATAGAAGGGATTTGATCTTGTAGCAAAAGTTTTTCGACTTAGTAAACGAGTTTTATAAAAAGTATAACGGTACCAAACTCCATGAAGTGCCTCAAATCGTGGAGAAATACAGAGGAAACGAGATTGCGTTGTGTCAACGACTCGAGAAAAAGTATTGCAATTCGCAGCCAGTCCTTCAAAATCGTCTTAACACTCTATAACTCTATTTGCTCATGATTTATTTATTTATTTATTTGTTTGTTAGTATATTACGAGTTTTATTCCTCCGATCGACAATCGGAATCAAATCGATGAAAGAATGAATGAATGAAAACAAACAAAAACTACCACATAAAGCGAGCAATCGATCCATCTGGCCACACAAATGGGCGATAAAAGAATAGAAATGCTGTGATCAGATTGAGCGTGAGAGAAATCGTAAGCGAAATAATGGGGTGCGTGCGAGGGCGGACAATGCAGATGTAAAACAAAATCGGGAGCGAATAATACCGAAATCTACACTCGCAAACTCCATCGAATCACACTCAACCAAAGGAGAAGAAACAAGAATCAGAGCAAAAAGAACGCCAGAAACCAGCACCAACAAGCTCGTAACGCTCGACAGAAGCTCTCTCACCATTCCAAGCAGCGAAGCCGCGTAAATCGGAATTAAGAAATACTTGAAAGGCTGTGATTTGAGAAAAAAGAAAGGAAAAAGTACAATCACGATATCTTTAAAAATGTAAAAAACAAAGTGGCGATTATCGGAGCGAATAAACGGATGAATAAACGTGAATTTCTCAACGAATCTGAGCGTGAAATCAGCAGCAAAATGAAAACAGAAAAGACAAAAACAAACAGAAAAGATACAAACCAAGCAGCGTTTTGTTGATCTTTTCGGGGTGGCGGATGTAGCGATACCACTTCAGAACGATGTCGTCGATGAACACGAGGCAGAAGAAAACAGAAAAGTAGCAAAGCTGCATTAGATGGAGCGACATGGAATGATGCTCGCGATCGCCCAATACCACCGAAAATCCGTTCTTCACGAAGAACACGACGAAGGAAATGAATAAAACGAGGTATGGAATAGCGAGACGAAGAACGAATTGGAATTCGGAGAAAATCAAAGAAAGTAAATGAATGATTTGTGTTCCAAACTTCGCGTATTTCTCACTCTTCCAAACCAATCCATACTAAAGGAATAAGAAGAAAATGAAAGAAAAAGCAAACGCGGAGGAGTAAAATGAGAGCCGGGTTCAAAACAGAGAGAATGATGTTTGTCTGTCGACAGAACACGGCGAACGATGAGAAAAGAGCACTCAGAATAATGAATCCATACTTATTTCCTAACATAAAAACATGATAAGAGAAATACCTCGATCACTCAGGATTGCAAATAATATCGATGTGGATGCGAAATACAGCGATACTCCATCCGTGTAATATAGGAAATACGCATCGAGAATCGTAGGGACCGACATCACTTGAATCGTCCACAAATACGACTTTACTCGCTTCTATAAATAAAAATGCCAACACTACCCAATACATTCGCAGGATGGAGAAAATGGATGATTTGATATACAGAGAATGCTGTTAAGTAGAGAAATAGCATGTTCATCCAGCGCAATGCTGATAAACTGCATCCAGCATCCCCAGTAGCGAAAAACAAGGAATACAGCTTGCAATATCTACGGTTCACGATCTTATCCAAAGATACAATGTGCCGATCACATAAAGTCCAGGAAAAGTCGTGATCTTCGGATCCCAATAGGTGTAGTTTCCTACATCGATAGATTTGCTTTTTACACTCTCTACCTTCCAAATAGTTTTGTGTCATCGAAAAATGGAAAATCTCATCCATGTAAGGCGCCGTTACTTCTTTGTTCATGACGACGATCGATACCATCGTACAAACAACAAAGAACACCAATAAAACATAAACAAGACAGTCAACTTTCATGATTAATAACAAACACTTAATACCGCCTCCATAAACTTCCTCAAGAACTGAAACCGATCTTCTGTGGACTCCAGAATATGAACTCGGTCATAGTTTTCGGGTTTTCTGACTTCCGTGGGAGTCGAGTAAGTGCTGGAATCTACGGACGCGTTTCCCATTTCAAAAACGCTCAGATCTTCGATTCCATTATTCAGTTGCTGCAGAGCTTGAAAGCGTTTTTCGTCCGAGTTCTCCAATACATCTTTGACCTTGCCATCGCTCATAACGATAACGCGTGTAGCGATTGATGGGAGTTGCATATCGTGCGTCACCATCACTACTCGTTAATGACTCCGTCCTTCTTCAGTACCTAGTGTCGTTCCCATATTGTTCAACTCAACAAGCAAATTCATTATTCGAATTGTGTTCAACGTGTCTAAATCTCCCGTTGGCTCATCCAGCAACAGTAAGTCTGGACTACATTTCATTTCTCTAGCTCGTCTTCACCTATTCGCCAGTCCGCGAGCGATTGAAACACGCTGCTGCTCGCCTCCGCTGAGCTGCGATGGGTAGTGATCTCGGCGCTCTGCCATTCCTACACGCTGAAGCAACTCGTCGACGGCTTCACGACGCTGACTGCGTGTGAGTTCGCCCTTCAGAATCAAGGGGAGCTCGATGTTTTGCGCTGCGGTCATTCCAGGAATAAGGTTAAATGTCTGGAAGACGAACCCGATAGCATTTAATCGAATCTGGGACACGATTCGATCGCTCACTTTGTCATGGAATGTATATCCTGCGATGGAGAGCTCTCCCCGGGTGGGACTATCGACAGTTCCGAGGATGTTCAACAGGGAACTCTTTCCAGAACCTGATTTGCCCACGATGATAACGAATTCACCTCGGTGGACACACAGATCCACTCCTCGAATTGCTGGAACGCCCTCCAGTCCAAGAAGATAAGTTTTGTGAACATTCTTCACCTCCAAAACCACTGATTGCGAAGCATCATCCGAATCCTCTTCCCCACTCTCTGAATTCGAGTTTGAATCATGCTGCGTGTGAAACAATCCATTTCTGTGCTTTCTTGGTGAGTGCTCTGAAGAAATGCTAGTTGTCAAACTCTTTTCTCAAATTCACGAAACGATTTCTTTGCTTGGAGGCAACGAGTTGCTCCACACATTCGAAGTTTCGTCCACTATGGATGTTTGCATTTTTGATTTGCTTCGTTTAAAAAAGACAACTTTTCATAACGCTTCTGAACCTCAAGCTGTTTGAACAGTACAGCCGACGTTCTTCGCTGTAGCAACGACAACCGAAGTCATCATGCTACTCTCCTCCCAATTCCGGCTCAGAAGCTATTCCAAATCATCAAAGTTGTTAGTTGGTCTCTTTTTAGATAAATAAAGAGAAAGAATGTACTATAGAAATGATCCTGTTCGAGTACAGTCTTAACCAATCTTTCACTCTTTTCCAACATTTTAATCACTATCCTATTTTATCATTATGGGTTTCTGTGAATCATTTTTCTCGCAGAACGTTTTTTATTTGTAGTTCAGAATGAAACTTCTGTTGTATTCATTATGCGTATTATCTCTGGTGTGTGCTGCTCAGGAAAATGAACAACCATGTACTTTCCTCACAAAAGAATGATTTGTAGTGGAGCCAGTGGTGTGTAATGTGACATGTCTAAACGATGGCTACTGTAATCCGGACAGTCATCAATGTGTTTGTACTTCAAACTGTCGGGGTGTCATGTGTGAAAAGTGCTCGTGGAATATCCCATTCGGTGCAGTTGTTGCCTTCTTTGTGGGTTTGGTCATTGTTTGGTATGTTTGCATTTGGGTCGCAGATTTGATTACTCGGAAGTGCAGGTGACCATTTGAATGGTTGCAATGAGAGCTAGGTTTTACAGACGCGTTTCGGTGCACGATCCCTTTGTGGATAACTTACAGTCGATCAGTGCATCTGCATCGCACCAGAATTCTACGGCTGGAGATAAGTTTATGTCTCCTTTGGAGAGTCCAACTCAGCGTTGGTATCGCAATCACTAAGGGGAACGTGGCGTTTACGGTTTTTCAGATACTTTTTCGTTTCTTCTTGTTTGTTTACACAGTCTGTTGTGCTCTTTGAGAAATGGACCCTATTTCATTTTTCACTCAATAGGGCCCGTATGCGCCGAAAGTCCCAATTGTTTTCCATCCATCCATTTTCATAAAAGGTAAGTTACTGTTGTGCTATATGCCTATTCTCACCCTCCATGTAGTGGTTAAACCGATTTTTGACTGTTGATCAACTATCCCCACAATGTCCGCTAGACAAAAGAAAGCTCTCTATTTCCAGAAACTCCATCAAATTCTTGAGGAGTACAACAAGATCTTCGTCGTGGAGATCAAGCACGTCACCTCCAAGCAGGTTGCTGATATCCGTAAGGCTCTGCGTGGTCAGGCCCTTCTTCTGTTCGGAAAGAAGACCATGATCCGCCGCTGCATGAACAAGTTCGTGGAGGAGCATCCCGGACACCCCATTGAGAAGCTGATTCCCCTGGTCCACGGAAACGTGGGTCTGGTGTTCGTGAACGGAGATATGGCCAACGTTCGTGAGATCATTCTCAACAACAAGGTGCCTGCTCCCGCTCGTGTGGGTGTGGTTGCCCATGTGGACGTCATTGTGCCTGCTGGACCTACCGGTTGCGATCCCGGCCAGACTTCTTGGTTCCAGGCTCTGAACATTGCCACCAAGATTAACCGTGGTCAGATTGAAATTATCAACGACGTGCCTCTGATCCTCGCTGGTCAGAAGGTGCAGCCCGGTCAGGCTGCCCTGCTGGACAAGCTGAACATCCACCCCTTCAGCTACGGAATGCACATCAAGCACGTCTACGACGACGGTGCGATCTACGACCCTGTGGTGCTGGATCTGACCGAGAAGGAGATCATGAGCAAGTTCTTCAACGGAGTCAACAAGCTGGCTGCGCTCTCGCTGTCCATGGGATATCCCACTCTGGCTTCGCTGCCTCACTCGCTCAACAGCGCCTTCCGCAAGATGGTCGCCATCGTGGTGTCCGAGGGAATGTCCTATTCCTTCGAGAAGGCCGAGCCCTTCAAGGCCTTCCTGGCCGATCCTTCGGCCTTCGCTGTGGCCGCTGCCCCTGCTGCTGCTGAGGCTGCTGCTCCCGCTGAGGAGGTCAAGGAGGAGGAGGAAGAGGAAGAGGAAGACATCGATATGAGCGGAGGTGGTCTGTTCGGCGATGATGACGACGACTGGTAAACTGGTTAGAGAAAATCATTGTGGTTGACCACAGAACTTGTGTTTGTTTGATCAAATATTTAATTCGTCTTTGGTGGAGAGTCTAGGATTGGGGCTTTTATGACTTGGGATTGTAGGTCGAGAGGTCAGAGGAAGGTTACGGGTAGAAAATGAAAGCATCCATGAGAGATTCAAAATGTACCGTTAGTTTCTTCATACCTCCCTCTATCAACTTGCCGAAAACAGACGAGTTCATTCGAGGAGGAACAGCTGCGTTAGTTAACATTCTTTGTAATGCGAAGACTCTGGGGATGATGCGCTAGGTACTTTTCCGATTAATAAAGTAATGTTTCGTCAGCAACTTACGGGCAACGGAATGCTGTCCGTAGGCAAAGCTCTGTATGATGAAGGTTTTCGTCTATTGTGTGCATTTTCGGATGTGTTGATGTGTAGGTACCGTGGAGTCGGCGCCCCGATCATGCAGAAGACGCTAAGCACTTCGTTAATGTTCGGGACGTATGATTTTTACCGTCATGGTCTTCTATCTGCTCAAAGGAGGTTCTCAGAGTACTTTTCGACATCTTTTCTCTCACTCTAGCCCTAATTCCAGCGAAGCCCTCTGGATTCGCTTGGCCGCCTCCTGTCTTTCAGGTCTAACCGAGGCTCTTTTGACCCCGTTTGAACGTGTTCAAACATTGTTACAAATCCCTCGCTACAACACCCGTTTCACTTGCTTTGTTGATGCTTGTCATCAGCTGGGTCTTCGCGAGTCCTTCACCGGCTTCTCGTCGCTTTTGAATGGTTTCCCTGATTGCTAGTGCCGTAGCTCTCCGCAACTGCATCGGTAGCGGTCTGTTCTTGCTCCTCCGCGATCCGCTGCGCGCCCTGCTCCCTACCAGCACCTCGCACTGGCACAACTTATATCCTGTTTGTAGTTTTGTGATTGCGTTTGTTTGCTTGTTTGTTTGTGGTTTGTTTGAGAGAGAAGAATGGATTGATGATTGATGATTGATGATTGATGTTGGGTTTTGTGAAAGAAGAATGGATTGGTTGATGGATTTGAGCTGGTTCCTTCACCCACGTTGTGTGATTTCGCGAGTGGAGCCGTGCTGGGAGCGTGCGTCAGCACGATTTCCTTCCCATTCAGCGCAGCAGCGGTTCAGATTCAGAAGGTAAGCCACGAAGGAGGAGGAGGAGTGATGGGTAGGAGGCAGTTCATCGAAGCCGGTATTCGGTGGTGAAAGCGATTCGAGATATCGTGAAGTGGGCTTGGATGGGAATGGCGATCTTGTAGACAGCGAGGAACAATTCTAGGATTATACCGAGGTGCGCAGGTCAATTTCTGCAGAGCACTCATTTCTTGGGGAATCGTAAATGCAGTTTACGAACAATTAAGCTTGCTTATTTGAATGGTGTGGGATTGTTTGTTTGCAAAGACTTGGATGGAAAAAGGGGATGTAGAAATGATCCATATGTGTTAGTTATAATAGAACAATATGCAGGAAAGATCAGGAATGCAGGGTTGTGTGTTGTGCAGAATAAGGATTGAATGGCAAAGTAGTTTGGAAAATAGAATCACAGAGTACGAGAGAGAATAACGATAGGATTGCTGCCTATTTTTGATCCCCATGAACCTATATTCACTGTTTCTCTTCCTGAAACATTCGATTTGTATGTAGATCTATCAGTAAATAACAAATCAATACAAGTTTCTAGAATCGCTTTTTTGAAAATCGTAGATGATATATATATTGTCTTTCATACTTCCCAATAATCATCTCACCGCGATACGATTGATTTATGAAAACCCCCAATTCCTATCAAATAGTTCCTCTTTCACTCCATTTTCCATTTCCCCTCCATTTCTCCCTCCATCTACCCTCAAGCACCATCCAAATCATGAATCCAACAAACACGCCAAAAGAAACGCCGCCGAGCTCTCCATTCCAACTTCCACTTTTCCATATCAATCGGATCTGTCTCCGGACTCGCATCCTCCTTTTCCTTCCAAATCTTGATTGTTTTATCCGCCTCGCACGTGATCAGCCGCGTTCCGGTGAGATCGAAGGTGCTCGCGAAGATTCCCGCCTCGCTGTCCAGCGATCCAGGCTGCACCACTGTACGCTCCTCCTGGAAACAGTATCCCGTTTTCCAATCGCAGAACCGGAACATTCCGTTGTCGCCTCCCGCGAACAGAACGCCCTGCTTATTCACCGAAATCGAGTTCAGAATGTAGTTATGTCCGCTCACATTCCCCAAAAACTCCGCCTATGCATCAAATCCGCTCCCTATCGGCACCTTAGGACACTTCCACTTCTTGATGTTATCCGCAGACGCCGTGGCGAAGACGTACTCTCTACCCTTCACCCCTCCGCTCTCCGCTACACCGGATGGAACAGACACGACCGCACTCCCTTCTTGTGGTGCGTCAGGATCGACGTCGCCGTCCCGGTCACCAAGTCCCACGTCCGCACCGTCGCGTCGGCCGAGCCCGTGACCACCTGCGGCTCGCCTGCCTGCGTGGCCACGCAGTGGACCGTGCCGCGGTGTCCGCCCAGCACCATGATCTCGGCCTTCGTTCGGATGTCCCAGACGCGGCAGACGCTGTCGCGCCCTCCGGTGAGCAGCACGTCGAGCGTGGGGTGCGTGGCGATGCAGTACACGCCGCTGAGATGGCCGTGGTAGGACCGCACCACCTGCGTTTGATCCCTTTGAGCTGGCCTACGCGATTGTACTCCAGGTCCCAGCATTTGACCGCTTTGTCTTCGCCGCAGGAGAACAAATAGGGCGAGCGGCTCGACACCACCACGCCACGCACCGTGTGCGAATGCCCGGTGAGCGTCAGCTTCAGATTTCCAGAGGCCAGGTCCCAAATCTGCGCGTGAAAGAAAAAGGAGAGACGCTACTTTGATGGTTCGGTCGGCAGAGCCGGTCACGAACCACTCGTTGCTCGCGTCCATCGCCACGCAGCGCACCCAGCCGAGATGTCCGGCGATTACACGCGACAGCTCCCAAGGAGCGTGCCACTCGGGGACAGGGACCTTCTCATCGCGTGTTCGCAGAACCAGAGCCGAGGAGGCCTGAAAAGGAGGAGTGAGAAAGAAAAAGGAACGGCTTTGTGGGATTGTTTGTGCGCTTCTCGAGGCTGGTAGGCGATCAGACTGGTGCTCTGCCTAGTGATGAAATAAGGAGAAAAGGAAAAAAAACTTTTTCTGTTGCTGCTCTTTCGATTTCAACGACTTGAGAGCCTGATCGATCGAGTTCTTGGAAGGATCCGTGTGAGTCGCATTTTCGGAAGAGAGAGGAACGCCTGCAGCATGAACATATGCTTTTATTGGAAAACCTGGAGCTGAAGGGTAATCGTGCGTTCCAGAGATAACGACTTTGGTAGCCTCTTCTTCTGTGACGGATTCAATTTTCAAATCATCTTCTGGCGCCTCGGAAGCCACAACAGACGATTTCTCTCCTTTCTGTTTTCTGGGAACATATTCATCACAATCTTGATAATCACCCAGAATTTTTGATGCCATTTTGATTCGAGTCCTACAAATCAACAAGACGTACAGTCAAAAACGCTTCTTCATCCTCTGCGGGGTCTTTGTCAAATGAACGAACGAATAGCTCATTTGTAATCCGCATATCTCTCTTAATCACCTCTTCCATAGAAAAAGCGTTTTCTCCACTCTTACTCTACACAATTAGTCCCTAATTTCAAATAAGAAACAATCGACGGAGCCATGTTAACGAGAGGAAGTGAATTTGCGATTTTCAAGTCCACGTTACAGAAAATGTGGGATCACTCGATTCAAACAAACACTAAGAAACCTCAAAAACCAAGCCATGAATTATTGCTTCTGTCGATAATTGTAAAGCAGCGTAATAATATTTTTGAAAGAATAGTCAAAACCATCACTACACTTAATCACCCCACAGACAACTTACATTTCTCTTGAGAGACGACAAAAGATATGATGGGCAATCGATCGCACAGACACCCTACTCTCTTGGGTCAGGTAGGAATGGTATAAATCGAGTATCTTCCGCTTTATTTCCTGATTAAAGTTCCGACGATGGCGGGTTGGCTTTTGGTTCTTGGAATAGCGAGAAATGCTCTTTACTTCATTGGAATCCGAATCGCTCGGTAATGCTCGGGGTTCCATATAGACCGCTGAAAATAGGTTGGGACCCACTTGTACTAAATGACAATTTGGAGGAAACTGCTTTTCTTCCATATTTCCATTGTTAACAAGTACTGGCACCTTCCATCCAGAAAAAACAGCGCTTGTTTGCTCTGAAGGAACTGTAGGTTCGCTTATTAACTGGTTTGTAGATGGTGGTGCTTCGTTCTTTACTGGTGTCACAGGTATCTGAGAACTTGGCACTCCAGGCGCGATATGTGTTTCAGGCGCTGCAGGAGACTTAGGGGTTGGCTCCTGCTTGGTATCCTCGATTTTCTGAGCGCTAGGGACGGAGACAGGTTGAACAAATGCAGGAATAACTGGGGAGGAATTACTCAAATAGTGAGGATCAAAATAATGTCTGCCATCAATTACTACGATCGCAATTAGAATAATAACGCCTACTATTATAGTTGTGAAGAATGTAAAAATCAGAGGGATAAGGGTATACAAATGGACCTTTTAGATCAGGAATAACATTCATAACCAGGAGCTAAAATGAATAAAGACAAAATTGAGAAATGATTATTCGTTAAATAGAAATAATAACTGCACCGACTATTTTTGGAAATTATGAAATCAATTAACCACTTTCTAATGAATACTCGCTAATTCCACACTTTGTATGTTAACAAATTACATGGTGAAAACGTGGGTATATTCCTACAAAAAACGGTTCCATTCATATTTGATGGAATCTATATCATAGACAAAGGTTTCTGCGTTTATTTACCAATATTCAATAGTCTTAGAGAATCACATTGTATTTACCAATATAGCATCTGAGATCCTTGAGTGATTCCCTTCATCTTGGCCTTGTTGTGGATATCATACCAATTATTATTGGAATATCCTAAACCGTACCACGACCACCATATTGGTGTAAATGCAAAGTGTACAAGAAAGGGAATGCATTGGGAAAAGGGATGGAAAAATAATTACTTAAGTACCTAACAAAAGTGTTTCTTAATGGATTCATTAACTTTCTTTTTATTCGTTAATTTCTTACTTCGATTTCTTGGTAGATTTGGGATATTTAATAGTAATCTTGTCTTCAATTCTTTTTTCGTATAAGTGTGTTGTAGCTACTCCGTCTTTTAATTATTGTCATATCTATTATCAGCACCATCTCATTTTCTTTCTTGGAAAGAGCTGCGGATGATTTGCTTGTCCTTATAGAATGTGGAATCAAGAAAGAACTGTATATTATTGATTATCAAAAATCATTGGAATTGCTTGGGTAAAAACGTTTGGACGTAGAAAGAATACTGGAGAATAGGTTATCCATCTAGTGAAGACATTCTGGGAATGGGTTTCTATAATGGATACTATTAGACATAAATCGCAGTGTTAATTATTGTTGAGTCATTGTAGTCTAGTTGTTTCTATTTTTTACAGAACTGTATGCTGTGTGGCTTTTTTGGTACAACATACGTTCGATTCCGAATGGATAAGTGTGTATTCAAATATATTGAATGTATTTACCACTTTCGACAGCAAAACAGACTTTGTTTGTTTATTTTTCTGTGAGGTAATTCTCTATATAATCGCAGCAATACATCCGGTTGCACGGAATATCTCCAACCTGCATGTGAGAAACGCTAGATTTACACTCTACCACATTGTTACACATAATGCTCAACTTGTCTGTTGACATGCACATGTGACAGTAGTTTCTCTGCGAGAAATTGTTTTTACTTCTTGAAGACATTTGTAAAAAAATCGGAACATTGAGTCTTATCCTTATAGGTGATACTTTGAAACCTAAAACAGATCCGAAGTAGTATAGTGGTTTAGTATTTCCGCCTGTCACGCGGACGACCGGGGTTCGATTCCCCGCTTCGGAGTTTTCTTCTTTTCTATTTTCGATTATCATGATTCCTTTTTTCTCTTTTTGCACCAACAAACATTCAAATCATCTAACAAATCCTCGTCGATCCCTTCCTCCATCATTTTTCGCATCATGGCATCTCGTAGTTCCTGTACTTCACGTTCACTTTCTCCCTGCACACCGACAACTACACCTGCCTTTCCTTCATTCACTGCCTTTGATTTCTTGGTTTCAGCGTCAATCACAAAATGGTTATCACAGTTCGGGCAATATTCGTCTGCCTCGTCGAAATCTCTTTTGTTACTCACAGCACAATACGAAATACAGCATATTCTTTCGAAAAACGTGCTTGCACTTCTTGCAACCAAAAACCTAGTCTAAAATGCAATTTCAAAATGATACCAAAATGGTACTACGTTTCAGTTCGTGGTCACATTGTTCCGCGTGACACTTGGCACAGTCAAACCACTTTCCACAGCAAGGCGCTCGAATGGAAACCTGTTCTATTATTGCGAGGCACCTGCACCAACCTGTGCATTTAAAACGTGTTTGCACATTTCACAACGAGTATAAAGAAAACAATGGAAAGAAAAATGAGATTGTTAGTTTTTAAAGCAAGAGAAGAGTCGGGTTCTCGATGTATCTACGCATAAGCTGCTTTTCAGACCCTCACTTCTTGATGGCATTGACGAACGTGGCTCCCATCACACCATCCATCACGCGATGATCGCAGCTCAGTGTCACGGACATCATATTCTTCACCTCGAACTTGGTTTCATCCTCTACGCCTCACGCCTCCTTCCCTGCTTCTCTCACCCTTTGACGGCACCACGGTCTTCACCACTCCGCCAACGGCCAAAATGCACGACTACGCATAACAAGACCTCGTTATAGCCACCTGAGGCGGATTGATGATCGCCGAGAAGGACGGGATGTTGTACATGCCCAGATTGCTGACGGTCATGCTTCCAGCCTTCGATCAACACCGCTCTGCAAGCCTACCGCGTACTCCTCAGGAAGCAATTTGCCTTCCTTGCTCTTGCTGATGAGCGTCTTCATCTGCTGGTTCAGACTCAGCAGTCCGGTCTTATCGACATCGTGCAGCACAGGCGTGATGAGGCCGTCGGGAATGGACACGGCCACGTTGATATCGATCGTCTTGTAGTGACGCATCATGTTGTTCACATAGCTGCAGTTCACTTCGGGCATCTACCCTTCAGGCCTCGCGTCCATCGCTACGTCGCGCAGCGCCATCGCGCAGGACTTCACGATGAAGTCGTTGATCGTCACCTTCGCCGGCTTCTCCGAGCCCGACGGGTTCTTCATCTTGCTGAGATCCGCGTTGAGGCGTGCACGCAGCTATCCATCATCGAACGCACCCAGCCCGACCTTCAGCAGCTCGTCCACGTCGCACGTCTGGTTCACGTAGTAGTGCGGGATCGACTGCTTCGACTCCGTCAGACGCGTGCTGATCACCTTCCGCATCGGCGTCACCGCCACGTCTTCGTAGTTCGCCGAGACGCCACCAGCGACGGGCGCAGCGCTCGCGGCAGGCGCAGGGGCGGCGGCCGGGGCGACGGAGAGCGCGGCCAGCACGTCGGAGGCGATAACGCGGCCGTTGGGACCGCTGCCCTTGATGCTGGCCAGATCGAGCTTCGCTCCGCTGTTCTTCAGAATCGTCTTCGCCAGCGGGCTCACGAACACACGCGAGGTGTTGCTGGGGGCCTGGGCAGCCGGCTGAGCGGGCTGAGCGGGCTGAGCGGGCTGAGCGGGCTGTTGGGGAGCAGCAGCAGCAGCTGGCTGAGCAGGTTCGGGAGCAGCAGGCTGAGCAGGTTCGGGAGCAGCAGGCTGGGCAGGCTGAGCAGGCTGGGCTGGCTCGGGAGCGGCTGGAGCACCGTCAGATTCGAGGGAATCCTTGGTGGCGTTGGCAAAGGCGGGGATATCCTCCTTGTTCTCGACCACGATGGCAATGGGCTCTCCGATGTTCACGTTCTCGGAACCTTCAGGCATCAAGATCTTAGCGACATAACCCTAAAGTGAAACCACATGCTTAGTAAAACCTCCTCTTGAGTAGTGAAATCAAGAGTACTCTTGTCGGTAGAAATCTAACGATCAGAATCCTCAAAAGAAATGCTAACCTGAGCAAGAACGTCTCCAGGCTGGACAGCGTCTCCCTCTTTCACGTTCCAAGAAGAGATTCCTCCCTGAGTCATGGTCTACGAATTACACGAACGAAAAACATCAAAACAGGAGAAAGAGCAGGCATGGAAACCAAAACATGCTCCGGTAAAGACGAAGCGAAACAACGTATAATATGGGATACAGAACCATGGGTACGAGAGAGTAAACTACAGTTCATCTCTCAAAAGAGGAGTACTTCACAGCAGTAACTCCACTTCGGGCAGCAACAGCAAATCTCGACAACATCGTTGTAGAATTCGATTGAATCGGTAAGTTAATGAGAATAAGAAATCCACCAAGCATAACTCCTTTTGGGAAATCGTCCCTATTTTTGGAACATCACGAAATCGGAATTGAAAGCTGAAGAGATAATAAGTATCAACCACAAAGACATTTTAGAAAAGGGTAATCAGTTGGACTCCACTTCAAATTTGAAAACCTTTTTAAATCACCACTACTTGGAATAAGAACAAATTCACAAAACATGTCTTTCATAACACACATAACACATTAAATGAGCACAATATCTTGCACGAATCCATTCGACAAGCTCACTTTCCATGTCTCAGAAGAGGCAATCTGAAGTTATTGAGTCTCCGAGAAAGGAGAGAAGGTTTTTGTGATACTTGTATTCATCATGCGTAGAGTGTTGACGAAAACAGAGTATGACACGTATAATCCAACACTAAACAGATTTCTTGGAGAACAAAGGATACGCAGAAAAGATGCACCTGCTCTTAGTGACCAACAGGATACCATAGCGTTTGAGTGGATGAGTGTTGATTTGTGCGTGTCATTCGTGTTTCCTATCATTCGTTAGATATGATGGAATGATGATGAAACGAGTCAGCGATAGCAAAGTCGAAGTTGACTTCGAAAGCGTTTGTTCTTTATTTGAATTCAATGACCGTATAGTACTTGTCCCCTGTTATCCGTTTTTATGGAATTACTAGAGAGGGATTCAGCGTGTGTTGCAATGTTCACAATTTCCTTCCATATATATCCTTCGCTATCTCCCACTCGAGTACTCCTTCATCGCTACTTTTATATTACCAAACACCCGCTGTATGAAGAATCCGATCGAGAGGATTTGGTTGCTTATATGACCGAAAAACTTCAGAATGCAGGAAAAGTGAAGGGCAAAGTCCTCGATGTAGAGTTGTGCAAACACAAAAGCATCTACTTTTACCAGGAACACGACCAGACCTACATGAAAGTGATCATGCAGTTCCCGAACGATGTAACGCTCGCTCGCGAAGTGTTCAGAGTTTTATTTTCTTCCACATTCTTCACGCCCAGCAAGGAACCAGAGCGTCCGAGTTTAAGAATTATCGGAAGCGGAAGGAAGAAAAGCTGCTCGGAACCGGCTCGGAGCCGCGTTCGCAGCCCCAATCCTACGGCAATCAGGACTTGTTCTACCACCAAATCTTCGAAGCCAAGCTGCCCTTCGTCCTCCGATACATGGTGGATCACAACATCGTTGGGTGCAACTGGCTGCAGCTGAACCCTGGGAACTATCGCCTCCTTTCTCCCTCCGAAAAGGCAAATTATTGCATTGTGAGATGACGAATAGCGAACGATGTGCCAATATGAATGCGATGTGATCTGTTCGGACGTCGTCTCGCTTCCCACAAAGGACGATTTCAGTCTGATCGCGCCGTTCCGCATCCTCTCGTTTGATATCGAGTGCTGTGCGGAAGAAGGCGGGTTTCCTTCGCCCGAGAAGGACGCTGTGATCACGATCGCGAACGTCGTGACGGAGCAAGTGCGAATGGCGATGGATTTGGACAGTAGGGATCGACAGAGCCGCTGTTCAAGTCTGTGTTCACGCTGCGCGGATGTGCTTCGATTCCTGGAGTGGATGTGTATTGTTTCGAGGACGAAAAAGACATGCTGGCGGCCTGGTCCAAGTATTTAGTGGCTTGTGACGCCGATATTATCACGGGATACAACATTCAAAACTTCGATATCGACTATCTCCGAAAGCGAGCCGCCACACTGAAAGTGAAAGAGTTCGATTTGCTAGGACGTGTGAAGGGCGAATTCGCACGCTGCACGACCTCAACGTTTTCTTCTGCCGCGTACGGCACCCACGAAAACATCGATACGAATATCGCTGGCCGCTTAATCTTCGACGTAATGCAGTTCGTTCGTCGCGAATACAAACTCTCCAGCTACACACTCAACAACGTTTCCAGCGAGTTCTTGGGCCAAACCAAAGAAGACGTGAAATACAATCAAATCAAAGAACTGTTTAACGGAGACGATGTGACTCGCCAGCGAATCGCCTCCTACTGCGTCAAGGACGCCTGGCTGCCGCAGCAGCTGCTCGATAAGCTGAATGTGATCATTAACCAAGTGGAAATGGCTCGCGTGACGGGCGTTCCGATTAACATGCTGCTCTCGCGCGGCCAGCAGATCAAAGTGTTGTCGATGATTCATCGAAAGAGTTTGCAGCTGGGATACATCATTCCGACGTTGGACCGCTCGAATCAGAGCGAGAAATACGAAGGCGCGACGGTGATCGAGCCGAAGAAGGGCTATTACGAAGAGCCGATCGCGACGCTGGACTTTGCATCGCTGTATCCATCGATTATGATCGCTCACAATATTTGTTACTCCACGCTCATCCCGGATTCGATGGAGATCGACGAGTCGCGCGTGGAGAGATCGCCGACAGGCAATCGATTCTTAAAGAAGTCGGAGCGCGAAGGCGTGCTTCCGATCATTCTGCGCGAATTACTCGCTGCTCGTAAAGTGGCAAAGAAAGACATGGCGAAGGAAACAGATCCTTTAAAGAAGGCTGTGCAGAATGGACGGCAGTTAGCATTGAAAGTGAGTGCGAATTCGGTGTACGGATTCACTGGAGCCACGGTCGGTCAGCTTCCGTGTCTTGCGATTTCGCGCACAGTGACGTCCTATGGGCGTGCGATGATTGAAATGACCCAGAGGAAAGTGATGGAGCGCTACTGCATAAAGAACGGCTATGAGCACGATGCGATGATTGTGTACGGAGATACGGATTCGGTGATGGTGAAATTCGGCGTGAAGACGGTGGAGGAAGCGATGAAACTTGGCAAAGAAGCGGCTGAGTATGTCTCTGGATTCTTCCCAGACCCCGTTCGATTAGAATTCGAGAAAGTCTATTTCCCTTATCTCCTCATGAACAAGAAGCGCTACGCAGGCTTGTTTTGGACGAAGCCGGAGAAATGGGACAAGTTGGACGCGAAGGGAATCGAAACCGTGCGTCGAGACAATTGCCGATTGGTGCGAATCCTCGTGGACACGTGCTTGAAGAAGCTGCTAATCGACCGATCGCCGGAGGACGCTGTGGAGTACGTGAAGAGCACGCTCTCCGCGTTGCTTCAGAACCAGATCGATATTTCATTGCTGGTAATCACGAAGGCGCTGGGAAAGAAAGCGGATGATGATGGAAAAGGATACAAAGCGAAAGCAGCGCATGTGGAATTGGCGAAACGAATGGCGCAGCGCGATCCTGGAAGTGCTCCGAAAGTGGGAGATCGCGTTGCGTATGTGATTATTGAAAAAGACAAAGGAGCCAAGGCGTACACGAAGAGCGAAGATCCGATTTATGTGCTCGAAAACAACCTCCAAATCGATGTGAATTGGTATTTGGAACATCAGCTGCGGGGTCCCATCGAGCGGATTTTCGCTGTTTTGAAGAATCATACGTTGGATGAGCTGTTCAAAGGCGAGCATATGAACGTGAAGAAGGTGGTGGTGGTTCAGAACTCGGGGATTGGACAGTTTGTGAAGCGAAAGAACACGTGTATGCACTGTAAGCGTCCGCTGCAGAAAGGAGCGGTGTGCTCGAACTGCAAATCGTTCGAAAGCGCTCATTACATCGAAACTGCAATGCAGGTGGAGTTGCAGCAACGACAGTTCTGCGAACTGTGGACGACTTGCCAGCGATGTCAGAACAGCTTGCATAAGAGTATTATTTGTGGAAATAAGGATTGCCCGATTTACTATCAGCGTGAGAAGATTCGACATGAATTGGATGTATCTACAAAGAAACTGGAGCGATTTAGTGAATAGTTGTTTGTTTGTTGTAAAAGTGGTGAACCGATAGGTAGTGGAGTGAAGTGGTATTGTTTTCTATTTTTGCTTCTAGACGGCTGAGTATAGCTTTCTATCCATAAGTGCGTTTCATATGATACCACATTAACTCAAGTTTGCGGTGATATCTTAGAAATATTTGAAAATAGAAGAAATACGAGCATGTGCAATATGGCAATGGTTCACTTTGACTGTTGTTTAATCAGAGGCTAATGTCAATTGTCTGCCTCAAAATCTGAATTTTACGTTGGTAAATAATAAATAGTAAAAATACGAATTAGATATATTCTCACTACCCGAACACATCAAAAAAGTCTTTGAATCCTATTTCATCAGTACAGTAATATTGTTTCCATGGTTAACTATGAGTCACTTGAGTAAATAAAGTCTTGAAATGCTGTATATTCTATTATCTATACAATAATCATAGTATTCCTTAAGTATAATCCACTTTCCCTTTTTCTTTCCATAGAAATAGTGCTGATATTGTGAATTAATAGTTGAACAGTAGTCAGATGAGTTTGTATAAATAGAAACCAAACCGAATCTATTTTGAGCCAAAATAAAATTCACTCATATTTATACTAATAATGAATCAAAATTGTGATGATCATACAGATATAGAGATGATAAAGATGAATGTGTCACCTCTAAGTCAATCTGTTGTGAATGACCAAGATGACGATAACGGGACTGAAATTTGGAACTGGTGCATTTCCAATCAATTTCCTATCAGTGAAATCATATCAAAGAATGGAAATAAGGTCATCATTCGCACAGGCGCTCCACATCAGGGATATACGATCCATTCACAAATGTGGGATGGCAAACTAAACGGAGATGCTACAATCATAACTCCAACAAATGTAGTAATCGCCAAACTCCGGTATTCTCAAGGTGAAATGACTGGATTTTGTAAACTGTATTACCAGTCTGGAAGCCTTTTCTATGATGGTTATCTCAAGAATGGTTATCGACATGGAAGAGGAACGGAATATGATGAACAAGGGAATGAGATATACGACGGATTATATGATACAGGCAATAAGTTAAACTGTTCTCCTTTCCTTGAAATGGGTAGGGATTATTGGAAAGAAATGGACGAAAACAGCCGATTTCGACGCGTTTTCCAAGTAGATTATCAAGGGAAATATGATGGTATGTGCTATTTCTTTGAAAATGGTAAGATTTCGCGAGTGAGTCATTGGGATAATGGAATCGAAGTAATAGCATGGAAACAGTTCAAGGGTGATGCTACAATGATAGAGTATTTAGATGGTGTAAGAGTGTATGAGGGAGGATATTTGGATTCTTTGGAACAAAACTATCCAAGAAATGGAGCTGGAACAGAGTATGACGCTGATGGAGAAACAATTATATTTAAGGGAATGTATAAGGATAATGTACGTCATGGAAAGGGAACATGCTACAAGAATGGCCTTCCAATAAGTTCAAAAGAAACAGAGTGGATAATGGGAAATTTGTTAAAGAGAGTGTTGATTACTCACATTTTGAAAATCGTTCTTCTTTTTGTAGTATATATAATATGTCTAATGATCAACTTTTATTTCGGTATTATCGTTGCCCTTATTGTCTTATGGTATCTATGCAAGCGTTGGAAATTCTCGAATGGTCCTGAAAAGAGTATCGCTCCTTTTATCGAAGATGAAATAAATGTCAAAGTGGTTGTCGATAATAATGCGAACAAGAACAATGATGATAATAATAATAATAATAGCAAATCATGCACATTAACAATGAAGAGAATAGGCATATTTTTACTGAAGAATAGCTATGTGTTAACAATGGTATCTATTACTATTATCATGATTATCAGTATTATTAGTTATATCATTAAAGGACCACACGGAATCAGTATTCTCGATGGAAGGTATTATGTTCCAAGTAACAGTGGAAAACATTTCTTATACTTTGAAATATCTAATTACCCGAAATTATGGTATATAGATATTGAGAATTTTTGCTTTACAAATGTCAAGACATTCAAAATCAAGCACATGAAAGGATTGAAATCTTTGAGCATTGGTGAGAGTTCATTTACTCAGATACCTACTTGGTATGGAAATGATGAATCGAAATCATTCCACATATTGAATTGTGAGTCATTGGAATCGATAGAAATTGGTAAATATAGTTTCACTGATTTTGGAGGAGACTTTGAATTGAAGAATCTACCACGATTACAATCCATTCAAATTGGTACAATTGGAAGTAGGTCATGCAATTTCCTTGGTAGTTCATTTGTAATTCGAGGTATTGATATGATATTGAATATTTGGATAATGCATAGATCTTCCAAAGCTAGAATCCATTACATTAGGTGAAAGTGCATTTCATGATGGTTCTTTTGAGATTGGAGGTAATGATATGATATTGAATATTTGGATAATGCATAGATCTTCCAAATCTACAATCCATTACATTAGGCGATGAAGCATTCCGTGAATCCTTAACAACAATAATGGAAAGTATTGAATGAATTCGAATGAAATGATTGATGTAGATATTCCATCATTAGAATCCATTCAACTCGGTGAATATGCACTCCAAGGAAGAAATAGAAAATCATGTTCCTTGACAATGCGAAGTGAGAATGAAATGATTCGACATGATTGAATGTAGATCTTTTAAAGCTGAGATACATTGAATCCGCGGGATATAGTTTCGATCAGGTTCGTTATGTAACACTGGAAAGTAGTCATTAATAATTGAAATTGATCGTATTTAGATATTCCAAATCTTATAAATGTCGAGCTACCTCATTCGTTCCAAAATGTAATATGGACAGAGAAATCAATTTGGAGTAATCTTGATAGATTTGATTTCATTCATAGATGTTTCCCCCATTCTCTCCAATCTTGTCTAGATCAATATGTAATTCCAGTTATTAATCTACACATTCCAATCAATATTATTTTTATTATTATTGTTTATTCAATGTTTACTTTGCTCGTTTGTTCCAAACCCCTTATCTTCATTTTTTGGCTATTAATTTAGGATCCAATCATCGATTGACTCTTTTCCATCATCACAACTCAGATAGGTTTAAAGAGCATGTTCCAATCCTTTGTGTAATCAATTTTACGAATAAAGAGTGAAAATACATAAACAATAGAAAAGTAAGCTGAGGCAATTCAGTACAGTTCAATGTACGAAATAGATATGTATTTTCTTTGACAAATCACCAGATAGTGAGTGCGTGAATTGAGACATCCAAGTATATGAACTGGATCGTAATAAATTGTATTATATATTGTTTTTATAACTAGAGTTGGAAATTCCTATTAATATATATATATATAATTAGAAAGAATTCGTTTTTTCGCTCCGATTTGTGCGTGTTGTACAGAATTTAACATATCTCAAAGGTAATTGGATAGTGAACAGTTAAACTTTCTAAGTGTAGAAATTCGATATCAGTTGTTCATTATTAATCCCCTCAACGATTGTATTATGATAAATAGAATAGTAAAGAAATAATTGAATTGAAAAAGAATCGAAGTGGATTCTTTTGTTTTCAAATCTATAGAATCATTCACTTGATCCTTCCACTTGCATATTATTATAACTAGAGTAACAATGTGTGATGTTGGTTGTATCTCTTGAACCTATTCATAGTACACACAAAGAAATCAGTATAATATCCACATTGATTTGTTCCTATTCAGTTCGCTATTGTTTTCGATATAGTCCTACTTTCAATCACTTCACCTATTTCATTTCTTCTAATAAGAATTGAGTATCAACGCTGTGCTTTCCTACGATCAATTGAGCATACCAAATATGACTGTAGATTACAAAGTTGAACCAGTATCTACATAAGCGTCTGTATCTCTAATCATCCAGTAAAAATGACTCAATTCTTAAAGTAAACTCACTCAAACAGCTACTTTTCAGTACTCTGTAAATTCGGGGTTGCTCATAAGCTTATGTATCTTGTTCATATCATTTACATTCTATTTTCTGTCCACTATTTACAAAAAAAGTATTACAATTAGCATTGCTTGCACTAATCTCACTTCATAGGATCGATTTCAATTGTTTAACCACATTTATACTACTAACAAGTTCAAGTTAACAAAGCAATTTCCTTGACAGCTTTCTCTCTATTCCTATTCCATTCTCATCATCTAGAACTCTCCAAGACATATCCTTCTCTTTCCATCTCGATTCTCTATTTAATTCGTGTCCTTTAGAAGCTATTCCTCCATTTTTTACCTTTCCATAAATAGTCCAGATTTCGACACTTTTCGATTATTGCTTATTTACCAAACAATGGTCTTGGACGTTCAAGCAGCACTAGGAGAGAAAGCCAAATTCATCACGAGCGAAGAGATCAAGCCAATTTGTGATACTTCCTCTCTTGTCGTCATGGATGGAATTGCAGTCGTTGATGAAGAGAAAGCAAAGAAGCTGCGATTGTTCTTACTAAAGAAAATTCAACCCTTCGGTTCTGTGGTCAAGAACGACATTTTCATACCTATCGATCCAGAGACGGGGAAAAGCTATGGGTAAGATTTGTGTTGCATATTAGAATTGAATGAACTAACAATTGTGTGTAGAGCTGCTCTTTTCGAGATGGCGAGTCCTGAGGAAGCAAAGAAAGTGATTTCTGGACTTCATAACACACCTATGGATAAACTTCACACATTCCATTTATATAGTTATGCGGATATCGTCGATTCTCTTCAAGATCCCAACACAATGGAGTTACCCAACAAAGAATCGTTTGCCCCGTTGAAGAAGCTCGCCTCTACCCCGTATTTCTCATTATCGATGTTTCGATGTATCCTAGAAGCGGTCTACATTCGTGGATGCAAGACGCATTCCAACGCGACCAATTCCTCATCCGGTACAAAGACCAAGTAGAAGTGTACTGGTGCGACTCTCCCTCGCCACAGCTTGCACACGACGGCAAGAACGACCTCGCCTGTTCGCAGCCGCCCATCGAATGGAGCCCTCTGGGCACCTACGTGGTCACCTACCACGGCCAAGGCATCATGCTCCACAGCGGCTCCTCCTTCTGCGAGTGCGGCCGTCTGCCCCACAAGGACGTCAAGCGCGTGCTCTTCAGCCGCCACGAGCGCTACGCGCTGACCTGGAACGGCGCGACGGGCGCCTCCGCCAAAGACGCTGTCGCTGTGTGGGACGTGGCGACCAATCATCTGCTGCGCCGCTTCCCCTGCACCGACCCGCACTGGCCGTCCTTCGCCTTCTCCGCCAACGAGCAGTTCCTCGCCGTGAAGGGCAGCAACGGCATCGGTCTGTGCGTGCTATCCTCAGGCCTGACCGCCTAGGTTCTCGCTCCCCGACTTCCGCCTGCTCCGCCAGGCCTGCTTCGGCGTGCCGTCGATCGCCGACTTCGCCTGGTCGCCCACCGGCGCCATTCTGAGCTACGTGATCCCCGAGACGGAGAGCAAGCCCGCCACCGTGGTGCTGCTCGACGTCCAGCAGGGCCGCATGCTCCAGTCCGTCTCTCTCAACAACGTCCAGCAGCTCCGCCTCGCGTGGTCCCCGCGGGGATCCGCGCTCGCCCTCGTGGTCGCGCGCAAGGCCAACCGGCGAGCCAAGACGCTCTTCTACCAGATCTCGCTGGTCCGCGTGGCGCTGCGGAATCTCCCGGTGGAGGTCGTGGAGGAGGGGCGTTTCAACGTAGACCCTGCAGATGGAGGAGGCCGTGGACGCGCTGGAGTGGGAGAACGACGACCAGCGCTTCGCGCTGCTCACCACCAACGCCAAGGCGCAGCACAACGTTTCGTTCTACGCGGTTACCGCGGGAATGGAGCCCGGAAAGCCGAAGAAGCACGAGCTCACCAAACTCTGTAGGATTGGGGCGGGCGTTTCATGAGATACGATTCCGAACCGCGCGTGCAACCGTCTCTACTGGTCTCCCGCGGGGAACTACATTCTGCTGGCGGGTCTGGGGGTAGGGAATGGAGTTCGATGAGGAACAGACGTCGCTGCGGGGGAAACTGGAGTTCTGGGACGTTTCGGCGCGGATGTCGCTGAAGGAGCAGGAGCATTTCAGGTGATTCCCGCGGGGAGGAGTGATGGGTAGCTGCACGGACGTGGCGTGGTCGCCGAACGGGCATTTCTGCGTGACGTCGTCGTGCTACTCGAAGGAGAACAAGCAGGACGTGGGTTTTTTTAAAGGGAGAAGGGATGATGAGTAGTACGAGAACGGGTTCGATGTGTGGGATGTGACCGGAGAGAGCGTGGCGAAGAAGCGGCTGCCGCAGTTCCTGACGCTGCAGTTCCGTCCGTGGCCGATGGAGTGCGTGACGGAGGAGATGGAGGCGAAGGCGAAGAGCGAATTGGAGACGAAGGAGAAGGAGTATAAGAAGCAGATGGTGCAGATGGAGGCCATGAAGCATATCGACGAGATCCGGAAGAAGCTGGGATGGATCGATGCGTTCAGAGAGCGGAGACGGAGAATTCTGGAGACGATGGAGGCGATGAACGCCGAGAGAAAGGCGATGAAGGACAAGGAAGAGGAGATGGTGGAGATGTGGGAGAAAGGAAGGGAAGTGATGTGTAGAGAGGTTTTGGAGGAAGTGGAGCTGCTGGAACTGAAGAACGAGGCGTGTTTGTGTGTTTGTTGAAAACGGAAGAAGTGGGATTGGGGTGTTGAAGAGGGGTTGGGAGTAGGTGTGAAATCAGAGAAAGAGAGAGAGAGAGAGTATCATGGGAAACACGAGAATGACGAAATATATGAGGTTATGAGGAATTGCATGGTAAAAATCAAATATTTGTAAAGTAGGAATCATAAAAATATAAAATTTACTTTCTATCTCCCCATCCATTCCAAAATACAGTTATTTCAGAAGCTGGATGATACCACAGAATTTCCAGGATCATAGCACCATTCACATCCTATTCAAACTACGAAAATCCCATCCAACCCTCTCCCCTCTGAAACACGACATTCCAAACTACCCTATTCTTTATTTCGCACCCTACCACCCTCTTCTTAATTCCAACAAACACACAAATTGAGTTTTTTCTTATAAATCAACTTGTCCATCAAATTCATGGAATGCGTGTCTGGATATAGCTCTAATACGCTTCCATCCTCCTTCTTCGCCAACAGCATTCCGCTCAATGGACTGATCCCGGTAATCACAGCTTTGCACTTATCCTCGGGATCGAGATCCGACTCCACCGTCACAACCTCCTCATTGTGCAGCCAAGTATCCAAGTAATCGTTCATGAACGGTTCGAACCCATACATACGGAACGTCCGAATCGCCTCCACGAACTGGTTACAAAATGAAGCCAGAACGGTCGATCGCCCTAAAAACACTTCTCGCTTCTCCAGCTTCGATGCGATCTCATCCATACACGTCGTGGGCTGCTTGTTCGAAATGTTAATTCCGATTCCGATCGTCACATCCCACATTTTTCCAGTGTACGCAGACTGGCAAATCACGCCGCCCACTTTCAGCCGCCCGTCGTAGTAAATATCGTTCGGCCACTTGATGCCGATGTTCATGTCCTATACATGGAGATACACAGAGAATATGCTACGCCCGTATCGTACACAGCTTCTAGAGAGCTGCACATCACGAGCGTGGCGAGATACTGAAGGAGAGGCAAGTCGCGCTGATTCTCGATGTAGGTCTTGAAACTGAACATCAGACACCCGTAGGGAGAGTTCCATTTGTTGTTGGTTCGGCCGTGACCGTTCGTTTGGCGGTCGGCTACGCAGAGAAGTCCGGACTGGAAGCCGGCAAAGTTCTCCTTTAAGATACTCTGGGTACTGTTTAACTCGTGTGAGTATAGCAGATTTCTTCCTAAAACGCGGGTATGAAGGTTATTGTAGAAGTTATTGATGTTGAAGCTTGGTTCCTAGACGGTAAGCCATAAATTGTAGATTCTACGCCCTCAGGAGTCTTCCATGTTGGTGGATCCAGGTCAAACCTACATGATTACGGAAAAGTGCAAACTACTCTTCGCGAGTGATTAATTTCGGTGCTTTCACGGGAAAATCTGGCTTCCAGCAGGAATTGATCTGATTTTCTATCTTCAATCGCTGCTTATCATCAGCGCAAATCTACATGCTGCGACTCAAATATTTCTTACCCCTATGAAGGGATACGGTCTAAAACTATCCGGATCCTCGGTCGACCTGGTGGTTATTCCAAACACGCAATGTCACATGAATCGAGCCTGGATAGGTTTCACAAATGGTCCAGATAGAGGTTTCACACCGGATCTGGCAAGTACTGCTTTGACTGATAACATTCTATGAGTGTAATGGAATGTGAAGAAGTTCAAAGTTGGCAAAGTTCTCTACATTATTTAATGAACACGACGACGCCCGGCCGTCTTTTACTATGGCGTACTTCATTTGCTCGAATATGATTGGTTCTCGCCGTTTCGTTTTGATACTTCATCGTGTTCATTGTTCCGATGTTCGAAATTCAAAAATATTATACTTATGAGAAAAGAAACACTTATTGCTGGTAAGCATAAGAGTAAGCACTGATTTGTAGCGCTAATTAACGTTCTTGGAGGGGCAATTATTGGATACAATTCAGGTATTGTCGCGGGTCTCTCCCTACCACTTATTCAGTGTACACTCCCTGGATTTGATTCATCAAGTAATGTCTCTTTCTATCAAGGTATTTTTACATCACTTATCTTGGTTTTTGCGGCTTTTGGATCACCTCTGGGCGTTTTCTTCAAAGAGCGACTGGGGATGAAAACCGTTTGTTTTGTCTCGTGTTTTTATATAGGCATTGTATGTTATGTCCCTTGTTGCTACATTATTCCCTATTTTGATGATTCTATGGGATAACTATTGGTATATCACCATTATGCGAGGCTTCATTGGACTCAGTATAGGTCACGCCTCTGCACTTTGCTCTCATTATGCAAATTCTCTTGTTAATGAGGAGATTAAGGGTCGTATCGGCTCCCTTTTCCAACTCTCCATCACATTCTTCATCTTCCTTGCGCAACTGATGAACTTCTTGCTCGTTCCTTCGTTTGATCCTAGCAACTGCGTCCCACTCTCGCCCCTCAGCTGGAGATTGCAGCTAGGAATATCATCAGTCATAGGAGTAGCCACTGCAATTACTCTTTGGTTTGCTCCGCCGATGCCTGTAGAAGAAAAGAAAGAAGTGAAGTAGGTTGCAGTGAAGAGCATTGAGAGTAGGGCTCAGAAGAGTACTGAAAGTCTGTTTAGTATGAAGAACATTCGCTGGTTAGTGTTTGCCATTATGCTGGCAGTAATGAACCAGCTGACTGGAATCAATGGAGTGATGTATTATTGCGCTCAGATTCTGGCAAGTGCTGGAATCGAAAATGTACTATTTACTCAGATGATTGTGGTGGGTCTTTGGAATATGCTGACTGTTTTTATCTTTATGGCAGTTGTTGACCGATTGTCGCGAAGACTCATCTTTATCATGGCATTATCGATCATGATTATCGGAACTGTAGCTCTAATCGCATCGTTTATGGTATCTGGAATTCCTGTTGTTGCCCTCATTGGAATGCTCTTCTACATTCTAGGGTTTGAGAGTGGTCCTGGACCCCTGTTTTATGTGATGGCCACTCAGGACTTCCCCAAAGAATTGGTCGCTCAGGGACTTTCTGTTTCTAATATTGTGCTATATATACTGAACATTGCAATCTCAATGTCGTTCCCTGTTCTGACCTCTGCGATCGGAGCCGGATATACCTTTGTAATCCTATGTGGCTTCCAGGTACTCAGTTTACTATACTTCGGATTCGTAATGAACGAGAAGTGGTGAAATACGGAGTGGAGTAATGTTTAGGAAAGTTCTCGTTGTTCAGGAACCAAAGGTCAATGTTAAGAAGAAGGAAGTTGTTTAGTCGTATTATACTTTATAGTCTATTAGGATTGTTTGTTTGAATAAGAATCAACAATCAAAGGTGAATATGTAACAAAAGGTTGTAACAATAATATCAATGTTAAAAAGACGAAAAACAATAACCCAAATTGATCAATCACAGATTCTCTCATTCTTAACGCAAACAACTACTACCAAATCTACAACCACTACTCGCTACAAGCAGAACATCCTGTTCAATTTCCATTCTTCTCTACAATTCTTGCCTTCACATGGAATCGCTGTGCCTCCACACACTTCACTCTCACTACATCTCCTGCTGCAAACTCCTTGGAATCCACTATCAACACCTTCGTATAATTCTTCGTGTGACAACATCGATAATCGCCCGTTTTCTCATTCGATACCCACACATCCATCTCCTTTCCCACCAATTCATCGTAAGGATGCAAGGCTTTGAACCAATCACTCAGTTCTTTCACTCGACTCTTCACTACATCGATTGGAAGCTGCTCATAACGAGCCGCCAATGTGTGAGGTCGCGGATAATACCTAGAATAATGCACAATATTCAGATTCAGGTCGCGCAAAAGTTGCATTGTTTTCGCGTGATCCTCCGCAGATTCGTACGGAAAACCAACAATAATATCCGTGGAGAGTGTGATTCCTGGAACGTGCTGCGAGAGAAAAGAGCAAATCTCTCTGAAATCGGATACTTGGTATTTTCGATTCATTCGTTTTAATACAGCATCCGAACCAGACTATAAAGTAAAAAAAAACTATGATGATAATATGGGTCCTACTTGGACTGGAATGTGCAGATAACTATAAAAATTCTTGTGATTTAAGATGGTTGACAGCGGTTCTAACATTGGTTTTAAAAAAGGCGGGTTTGTCATTCCTATTTTGACCATCACATTCTATTTTCTCAAAAGAACAAAATAAAACAAAACGGAATCCTCGACTTCAGATCGAATTCGATCCAACAACTCCATCAAACTACTGTTTCGATCCATTCCATACGCTCCTGTGTCTTCACTCGTCAGCCAAATCTCCGAAATCCCGTTCACTTTGGCCTAGAGGTCTAGCTTTCTCATAAAAAAAACGGATACTGCATGCACACGTTTTATAATTTCATCGATGGGGTAACTCCACAGCTTGCCTCGAGCCAAGCGCGTTTGACAGAAAGTGCAGGCGCCCAAGCAACCCAACGAGATAGGAATAATCTCAACACCTTCGTCTTTTCGAATTTTGGGGAGTTGTAAAGAAGGGATTTCATCGGATGGGGAAACAAAATGGTGCGTGGGAGGAAAAAAGAGGGAATCGACTGTTTCCTTTATCTGCGCAATCTGACGAACTCCGAGCGTAGCATCCGCATGGAATTCGGAGGAGAGTGACGGATCCGCTAATTCAAAAGAAAAATAAGGAAGATTGTACCTTCTAACATGCATCCTGCAACAACCAGCTTCTTTCCCGTCTTTTTTGCTTCGTTGTACAGTGTACGAAAACTTTGAATCGATTTGTCACGCACAGTACAGGTGTTGATCACCCTGTATGTCAAATGCTTCGAATCGCATACCAAACATCCGCCTCTTCCTTTTTTGATGTAATGTTATATCCCCCTTGCGCGAGAACACCCTTCATCGTCTCTCCGTCCGAAATATTATGCGAACAGCCGAAAGTGTGTACATACACCGTCTTTGCGTCCGGATTCCAAAAAAATTCGGATCGAAAAGGCGCTGCTGCGGCATTTGTGTGTTCGGGCGATATATCACACGCTATATATATAAATGGAGAGACAGCCATACATCGATCGCATTTCTCACTGAGAGGAGAGGAGGAGAAGACATTACCCAACATCTTCCCATAGCGATTCCTCCGAATCAAGTTACCACCTATCCGCAAAGTGCGAAGCATCTCGAACAAACACCCAACAAACCAATAAAAAAACCAATTACAAAAGGAAAGGGATGATGGCCTTGCGATGCAGCTTCTTGTACTCATCTCCGTAGGTCTTCAGATATCCCTTATGCTTCTTCACCGCCCACACGTACATCTGAAGGAATCCGGTCAGAGTAAACAAAAGCGCTAAACCATCACGAAAACCGCGATTCTGCCTACCCGGGAAAGATCGCGTCATAACCGTGAAACAGATCCACGAGCAGACCTCAGCACAGTAATTGGGACAGGAGACATATTGGAAAAGAATACCCTAATGTTCAACAATATGTCCCTTAATTACCTTGGGAATGGGTCTCTCCTGCGATCCGTCCGCTTTGCGCATTCGGCTGAACTGCAGGTGCACGGCACCGTTGATGCACTCGCAGATGAACATGGCGATGAGTGCTCCGTAAACGATGGTCCAGCTGGAGACGGGAGTGTACAGAGGGTGGCAGAGCGTGTAGCCCACCTACGATTACAATGATGCATGAGCAGGTACGAAGAGCGCGTATCCCCAGTAGTAGGTGCAGTTCTTGTAGAGATTGGTGATGGGCATGGTGCCGTGAGAGAACTTGTGAACGAAGAAGGTCTCGAACAGACGCTTGGCGTAGTGCAGCACCCAGGCGATCACGGCAAGACGCGCTTGCTCAGTCATGTGCTTCGGAGCGGATCCGTAGATGAAACTGGGCTGCATGCCAAGAATGAGCATGATGACCAAAGGACCGGCGTATTCGAACACGAACACCTAGAGTTAAGCGGAAGGAAGAATGCAAACATCGCGGTAGCCAATTTGAGGACCAATATCGCGCAAAATGATATGGGCATCCATCTTGACGTTGTAGTCCGCGAGCGTCTTCTTGTCGTCCGTCAGACGGAGAGGCTCTTTCTCAGTGATCATGATCTTGAGAGCTTGACGCACTTTGATGAGATGCACTAGGAGTAAAAAAAGAGAAGAGAGATTCTGGTACATTCCGATTCAATGCGATCCTTCAACTCACTCACAGTCATGGTCTCCTTGACATCGAATTCGACTGACTTCTTACGGTAATCCACGAACACTCTCATTTTAACAATTAAATATTGATATTCTGTTTGATTTTGATAGTATGACGTCGATGAAACTCCTTCTGATTCAATTGATGTCACTCTAAAAACCGCTTACGCAGTCATGCATCGAGAGAATCTTGGATAAGGAACTGGCAGGAAGCTGTTATTTGTGTACTCGCTGTTTTTTACAGTGCCAAAACACTTTTTCAGGCAAGCAGCCTATCCTGGGGAGTTCTCTGTTTCTTCGCCTCACTGTCCTATCTTGCTAACTAAAACAAACAAAACTATCTAAAAAATTGCTCGGTCTTGAGATCACTCACAATCTTGCGCAAAGCCTCTAAAGTTAACTACACACTTCACACCTCTTCCACATTTTCCTACATGGTCATACTTCGTTGCAGCATTCAATTTCACAATGTCCATATTCTCATTTCGTAGCTTTTCAATCTGCATTCTGTAATCCTGAATCCTCATCGAAACCGTCTTCACATTCATCGACAAGTCACCCACCTCTCCCTGCAACTTCCTAATACTCTCCACCAATCCCCGAAACTGCGCGATCCGTTCCCCCATTTCCCCTTTTCCACGTTTCTCCGGCGTCGACTTCGGCGACACCCCATCAAACTGGAAGACCCGCACACTCCGCTCCCTGTCCCCATTCCTCGACTGCTGCGCGGTTTCCCGCTTCCACGACAGCGTGTCCACATCCTGCGGCAGCGTAGGTTCCGCCGTGGGCGTGGTGAGAACCAGCGGAATGGATCCGACCACGAAGCCCTCGGTGTCGGACTGCGCGGGGATCGGCGCGAGGAGCTCGGCGCGGCGCAGACGCGTCCGCGAGGGCGACGACGCCTCGCTGAAGGAGCGCGCGCGCGGACTGTGCGGGAGAAAGCGGAGGTCGGAGGGCTCCAGACGGCCGCCCATGACGAGCGTGGGGAGCTCGCTGCGCGTGAAGGAAGGTGGAAACGGAGAACCTGTGGAGGGAGGAGAGAGTGGGGATGGAGGAGCGGAAACGGCGAGGCGAAGCGAGCGAAGCGAGCGAAGCGTCGGCGACGTCGGACTGCGGGAGAAGAAGCGGAGGCGGGCTGCGGAAGACGTCCTCCGCTTCTGAAAAAGCGTTACAACGAGGGAGGAAAGTCCGAGAAGATGGGAAGGGAGTCTCGTCGATGAATTGGAGGGCTTCTTGGAGAGAGAAGGTGGGAGGACTGGCGAGGGAGGGGTGAGGAGGCTTGAAAAAGGATTCATCGGCAGAAGGCGAATTGCAGACATTGAAATTGAAATTGTGACTATTTTGGGAATTCCAAAAAACGGGTACTCTTGGTATGGTTTGTGAGGTGAGGAGAGAAAAGTCTCCAGATGAATAGAATAAGAAGAGTGGATGGAGTGAATGTCGATTTGTGGATTTCCAGAAATACCCCCGATTATAGATAGGGTCCAAGGCGATTTCTGGAAAAAGAAGCAAGTGTGATAAGCAATGGCAGGGATCTCGCTCTACGCTGAAGTAAATCCAAGAAGCAAAACGATCATGGGCGCTCTCCAGCGATTCTGCGGAAACGAAAACACAGAAATGATCGCGTTTTTACACTTCTTTCCCTGATTTCTAAGCGTCAACGCGGCTTCTTTGGATGCTACCCTCCCACAACGATCAGCAATTCCTTCGTCATGACCGCTGCTTGGCCGGGAAAGGCAGGGACTTCGTGCTCTAGAGCGTGAACTAATCGCCAGGTGCGATCATGAAGATCGAATTCCCAGAGATCGTTCAGAGGACGCCGCGAACTCATCGAAATACTATTTCTGAGCGAAATAGGATTCCGCTACCCGCCAAAAAGGGTAAATCCGAGACGTGATGGAAGAATGGTGCTAGAAAAGCGAGAGCAGGGGACTGGATAAAAACTGGTGTGCTTGTTTGCTCGAAGAAAAGAAAAACTGGGAGAGGAATCAATAGGGAGAAAACTGGGAGGAAAAGAATAGGAAAGGTCCTTGATTTCGTGACTTACCAGATTATAGCTGATCACTAATATAGTGTTTCGAACGTTGCATCTTCTGTAGTTGTTCTCTGTAATGCCACCGATTAAATAAATGACTCTGTCACGAATGAAAGAGCAATGACCCATAATAGCCGGAAATAAGGACGAAGTATTAATCTATCTTGTGAAAGAGAAAAACCATGTTTACCTCTGTCCAAGTACATGTGTTAAAGGAAAAACACCAAATGTCACTAAGAAGCGACTTTGAACCATCGATTCCTCCACAAACATAAAGGCAATCATCGTACATACAACAGGAATGCCTAAAACGAGGACAAGGAACAGTCCCTTCAATGTCACAGTTATCTTATCACATACCTTTCACTTGTATCTCGTGGACTTCTTCTCCATGATCGGATATCAAAAAGAGAGAATTAGATAACACACCGGCCACAAAACCTCCAAAAATAACTCCACAGTCTTGGTTTGGATCATAAACTGATGCCGTTAAAGTTAAACGAGGAAAGAGATTCATTTCTCTTAATCTACACTATTCCTCAAATTATCATTGATATCTACAATCTGTCATAAATAAAGACCGCGAGGCAAAAGGTGGAATATACACCAAGTGCTTTAAAAAAAGAATTATGAACTTTGTGATCGTTTCGTATGTTTTGTACACTTTGAACGTTTTAAGGTATTTGATAATAGAACAGACTATTGCTACAGTGTTGTTTCGTCATAAATCCAACTCTTTTCCTTTTTGAAACTCGCGTGATCTTTATCATTCGAGAGTACTTAAAATAGAGTATTACCACATTTCTACAAACAGGAGATGGTCAAAATATTATTAATCACAACTTGTGGTCACGAAAAAGACGTCGAGGATGATTAGCTTTATTAATACAATTAGGCTGTATTTGGATGAATAGAGATAGTAAATATAACAATCTCACAACATATTATCGCATTCTAGACTCTACAATACTGTTTCAATCAGGGAATATTATGTAGTAGTGTGTTGAATTGTGGAAATACAGGTTTATTGGCTTCGAAAATAATATCACTGATGAGAAAAAAGTACAGCTATCGAAAAGATGAACTTTACACTATCTACTCTTCACTGATCCGACTGTAATGTTTTTATGTCGGTAATCTATATGATAATTCAGTACCCATATTATTGCATTTGTATTTAGCCAAAATTCTTCCAAATTACATAAGGCGTTGCTAAAATGTCGAGATACTAGAAAAATACCAATATCACGTTAGAGAATGATTTAACAAATAAAAGTATTACAAAAACGATAACATAAAGACACTTCTCTCATTTAGAGAAAAGCGCTCTTTCTTACGACAATCCTAAAATATGATTTACTACAATTTTACAATATTAATTGTCTAATAATAATACCAGTAGTAGGGAAAAGGCGATAGATGCGCGAAAATCCATTTTCTACCAAATAACCGCGGTGAACTTTTTTCGACCATTTTTCGACCATTTTCGACCATTTTCGGCCATTGTCTACCTGCTCACCTCGATGTCCATAACAAGAAACGCGCGGAAACCCATGGCTGCCAATTTCGGCCAATTCCTGCAATGTTAACCTGACTTCCATTGTAGGCCATGGTATCCATGGATGTGATGGGGCAACGAGGGACGACTTCGTCGTCCCGGGGGAGCTATGCTCCCCCACGTACGTTGCCCCGGGAGGAATCTTCGATTCCTCCCCATTGTCCAAAGTGAAAGATTGCTTCCTTTACTTCAGTCTATAATGCCCGAATGCAAGTGTGTGTATGTTGTCGTCCAAGATCCATCTCTTGTTGTCCGTGCAAGTCATGAGGGTCTTGGTCTGCTCCTTCGTGCTGATATTGAAGGCCTGGTTGTTGATACGCTTGAAAGTACCTTCGATCACTGCATCTTCCTTCTTCTCTGCCTCGAGGACACGCTTGTATAGTTCGATGTTCTTCACGCTCATCCTCTCTCCATCGATCACCACATTGCGAGGAACTCCCTTCGCTGCGTTATGCACTACATGCTTCTCGTCAATCAAACAGTACATCTTTGGTCTAAGTCCCACGAACTCAGTGATGCGATGCCCGTTATGCTCATCCTTGAATATGGGTCCCGGCAACTTCTTGTTGAAGTTGAGGAACGAGTCCAATGAAGGGAACTTGCTCTTGTCAACTTCGTGATCGTAATACTTCACGAGTTCACCATAGAAGTAGCTCGTATTATCCAACTCAGAAAAGTCAAACGACTTGTACATATCGCACATTTTGTGGACGATGTTACCACGGTCGTTCAACTGCACGATGAGCGAATCCGTGTCCTGTCCCAACAACTCCACACTGTTGAATGTCGTCTTGAGCACATTGTAGTAGAAATCGTAGATGATGTGCTTCGACATGTCGAGAATGGCAAACCCGATGAAGAACGGCTTCTCTACCTTGCGCACCGGTGTGTTCAGCTTAATGCCGATCAGATTTTCGGAATACATGGTGGTTCCAGCGATCATATCATATCCGTGCTTCTGAATGATAGCCTCACGTTCATTCCACGTGTTAGCGAACTTCACTTTCATTCGTTTCAACCCAGTCTCCACGAATTTGCCATAGGTCGAGTTTGCCAACAGCTTGTACAGGTTCTTTTCTACGGTGGTTTTTGATTTGGCTCGTTTTTCACTGAGCATATTGACGTATTCGAAGATGAAGGGTGCTTGTTTGAATCGAATGAGGCGGTGGATGTGCGTGACGCGATATCCCTGTTGAAGACCCAATTGCAGCAGAGAGTAGTGTACGAGATATTTGCGTCGAGGTACAAGATCGCAGATGAGCTTCGGTGTATTCACCTCTTTCACCTTGTCCACAATGTCGTTCTTCTCTGCGTACTTCTTGATTCCGTCTGAGTACATGCCCGCCTTCTGTACGGGGAAGAATGGTAAGTCATTGAATTTATCATGGAGTTCCACTGGTGCCTCGATATCGCATTCGATGAAGAACCCATACTTGCCGAACGTATTGAGTGATTGCACCCATTCATTCGGATCACGATTGATCCTTTCCAT